ATAAGTTCAATGATTTGAAATCTAACACTGTTCTAATTCAAGATTGTTCTGACATTTAAAGTCTACCATTTATCGCTTAGATCTGGACAGATCCAGTGAATTACATGTCTTGTCTAGTAAAGTGAATCTAGGGACGAGTTATAGGCAGTTCTAACAGATACTCGCGCCAAATGGAAGGCGTCCAATTCTGCAGCCTCAGACGCTAACGGCGTTATCATCCAGAAATTCTGAAAACACGAGTTATCATCCATCTTTAAAATTGAATACTGCTGTGAAGCAATTATTGAGATATTATCATTCGCAAAATGAACTCAAAGTAAAAACAAATCCAAACTAAAGTAAAAACAAATAAAATCAGGGTTTGTGGGTCTTGTTTACACGCAGAAGAAATTGATTGACTGTAATCATTACAAGTTCATGTATAAATACATGTATGTGGAAATTGTAAATTACCACAATTTAGCAAACTGTTGTCTTTCTTGACAACTTTTTAATGAAACAGCAGAATATTACATATATAATTTATTAATCTTCACTGAAATTGAATGGCACACCAATAATAGAAATGTAGAATCATGATATTAAAACTTAGAATGATAATCTTTTCCCATTCACAGTGCATGATACGTGTTACAAATTGTTATAAATATTCCTCAAGTATCCCTCGCTTAATAGCGTGTACATGAACTTGACCTTAAAATTTGATAGTGTAAATGTTGAATACATAGTGTCCTTCTTTAATAAACTTTGAATTAGACAATGTTATAAATTTTGAATAAATTCAAAACTTAATCATGACAATAGCTTTCTTTCTTACTAACAAAAGAGTATTTCTAACGTCCCCTGTTGTGTCTCTGATCATCCTAATGCTCAATTGATGACATGACCTTGTATAACTATCAGTTGATGACATGACCTTGAATTGAATCACATTCAATTAATGACCTGACTTTGAATCACTATCAGTTGATGACATGACCTTGAACTAATCACAATTAATGACATGACCTTGAATCACTATCAATTAATGACATGACTTTGAATTACCATCAATTGATGACATGACCTTGAATTACCATCAATTGATGACATGACCTTTAATCACCATCAGTTGAAAACATGACCTACACAGTCATGGTGATACTGTTTATTTGCGTGTGCGATTTTGGCGAAAAATTATATTGGTGAGCTAGGGAGTTAGATAGAGAGAAGGACGAACGGATAACCATGGAAATATTACATGTATGTCTGGGGAAACGAGATAGGGAAAACTATGGAAATAGAATACTCTCTTGACACTGTGAATATTTAGCTTTGATTTGTATTTCTAGTCATTTGCTACTAATTGTGCTATCCGTCTAAAGAAGTTATTATAGGTGGTAAAAATGCACGCTGCGTCTATTGTAGCGGCCAAAATAACGGAAGACAATGACACTAGAAGTAATGAAAAGATTTCGATGAACTTCATTATTAAAGGCATTGCAACTTTTTATAGATCAAAGCATAAAAGTTACATCTGCTTTATAGAACAACGAGCTATGATAAACAATTATGCGTTTAAACAAAAAATAAAATCACATGGCGTATGAAGGTCGTAGAGGTTTCGCTTCTAAGAATTTACAAAGGCTACAAAATATACTCTTCTTAGTGACGAAAGCAGAGAACACCTCGTTCCTTACTCAGCATGCTTAAAAAACATATATATAAAACTCACATTCTGAAAAATGCAGTATTTTCAAAATAAGACTGTAGAAAAAAATCCACAAATTTTAAATACATGAAGGGATTGTTTGCATTCCGTCCAGAAGACTGAATGTGTCCGTCCACTAAAAAAGAAACCAATTCACGTGTATTCCATGGATCTAGACAGTAGCGAAAATACAATTTTTTTCAACGTCATTAAAGCAATCATGAGAGAGAGAGAGAGAGAGAGAGAGAGAGAGAGAGAGAGAGAGCGAGCGAGAGAGAGAGCACTTACTGGACATCCTGACAATTTTTGCATGATTATTAAAATCTGACTTTGATGGTTTAGGACGTGGACAGTCCATTTATTAGGAAAAATAACATATGTGAAGTGATTGTGTTTGATTTTGACAGTAATGACTTGATACATTATCCTTATCTCTGGTACAAGGAATGCGGAATGTTCATCATTATATCGTTATACTAGATCGTATAATTACAGCACAACCTGTAATATCTGTCTACCTATTTATAAAAGGATGTACATAACTACAATCAATTACAAAACAAACAATCATACAAATGATACAAAGCAAAACATACAAATAAGAAATCCAAGCTTTTATCTGCTTAAGAAAATAATAGTGTCATGATATAAATTTTAAATTCACTGCCATCCGATAAATGTAAAATTTACAACATGACAATATAGCTGTGGTTGTGGTAGTTGTTTTTAAAAATATATATATTACCATGGTAATAAACGATCTGCTCAGCATATGAATCATTTTCAGGTATGTACTGATAAAGCGAACAGAATTAGAAAAAACTTTCCAAAAATACCTTCATCAAACACAAACATGGGCGATTTCCCGGAGGAATCTGCGCAAATACAGGGATTTTCAAAATACTTTAATTCACTTCTTTTATTTTCTCGTCTTATTCAAGGAAAGAGTGCCACATACATTTTCAGACTTTTAATCTACATATGCCAAAGTGCGTAGTCACTTTTTGTCGTCAGTTTTGTGCTAAAGTGGCAACGACTTTGCATTAATAGTTTCTTACTCAAACAATTTTACAACTTTTAAGAAAAAAAAATGTGTTGTTTTATTTTTATAAATAAGAAGAAAAAAAACCTTACAATTATATGTAGTTGGATGTAAATAAGAACCACGGGGGTTATCTCTGAATTTGTTACATGAATTATGCAAATCACAGAAGATACAGTCAAACACGTGTACTGATAATGCTATGACATTAATGAATCCATTGCGATCCTATACAAATACAGTCAATGTTTGATCAGAAGTACCAGGTGTTTCCAATATCCCGGCTTTACAGGGCACCAGCAACTAAATTCTCCGGCCACGAGTAAAGAACACAGGAGGGGGTCACACAGACTTGTCCCCCCAGGAGTAATTTTCAGGGTCTGTGATATATTAACGCTTTATTCAAAAAATATGTCATGATTTCATTAAGACATATGGATTTATGGATTTTTGTTTCCTATGTTTTAATGTCTGGGTTGACTTGTGAAAAGTTGACGTTAATGATTTGCAGAACCTTAAATACCGAGTATATAAATTTGCAGAAACATATGTGTGTGTGGTGTTTAATTGTTTTTTTTTAACATATAACGAAATAATTGCAGTACTGAGTAATTAAAAAAAATTAAAATGGCTAAACACAAAAACAAATAATAATAATAATAAAGATTAAAACTCTTGTACTCTAGGGTTTAGACACTTTATACTCGGGAAAACCCTTCATACTAATACTCAACGTTTATCGTAAATTTCGTATTTTATCCAATGAACTAGTCCTCAATATTATGAGTTCAACCCAAAGGTTACATATATAGAATTTCGTGTATTGCATCACATATCACAGGCTACCGTCCACTTACAATAAATATTGTATTTTTGGGAATTCTTTATTATTTCATAAACTTTAACCTTGAAGATTAAAGAAAAATGGGTTGGATAACAATATTCTAAAAAACGCGTTTTTAATCATGTTAAACTTGTTTGGATTTGAGTGTTTGGGAACACAATGTGTCATATATAGAGGTTTAAACTCATAGTCGTCAGAACCGGGGGACTTTTTTGCCAAGTGTGCCAAGACAGACATAATATAGGCATTGAACATTGGGGTGTAGGTTTAGCCCCCCCCCCCCATTCAAGAAGTTCAATCCCCCCCCCCCATCCCCCCACGAAATAGGATTTTTGGTTTTGGACAATTTTCAATTTTCCTTGTTTTTTTTCTTCTTTTTTTGCTTGTCAAGTTTTTTTTTCAGGTTTGAAATTTTTTTTCAATTTCAATTAGCCCCCCCCCCCCCACTTTCAATTTGCTTCCGACGCCTATGAAACTCTATACGTCACTTCTTAAAAAGTTTTTTTTTTCAAGTAAAGAAAATCATGCACTGTAAGAGGTTTATCATTATTTATCAAAAGCCATAAAATAATAATTATCAATTTCCCTTTTTTCAATTTCATTTTTCAACTACGACAGTTGTATCTTTGTTCCAAGGGAAGTTCTAATCTTGCACATTCCTGTTTGTCAACAACTGACAAGGGTACAGTCACCCACTCAAGTCGCTGCAGAAGCAAGTTTGGCGACTTTCCATGAAACAGATCAGCAAAATAACAATAAACGTTAGCACTTCTAGTAGTATATGAATACTTGTTTTATTGTCTAAAAACTTTTTTAAGACAATTATTTGAAAGAAAAAAAATCAAACAGTCTATCGTTTGTTAAAAGGGTTTATAATAAAGCGCTTATGATCCATAGGAAACAAGTACAAAGTATATACAAATAAGTTTTAAAAAACATCTTGTAACGAAACCTGTGGGCGAAAATCTGCTCAGATAAAAGTTTTCTCTTCCTAGTTCCGTTGTCATAGAAACATACATGTGTTCTACACACGGGGCTAGTCTAAGTTGAATTTGCTTGTTAGAACCTCAGGTAAATTAGGAAATGGTGCGCTATACAGATTCTGCATTATCTATAGAACTGAGGATTTTATAATAAGTAAAAGGAAGAAGAGAGAAATACGTTATGATTAGGGCACGCTTTAAAGAATTAAAATTCTTTTCGGGGAAAATTGAGAATGTTTTGGAGATTGACACCCCTCGTTCTAACGATTGGAATCCCCCAGCTCCAATCTGTTATTTCTATAGACTCCAAAGAAGGATGTACGGTTATCTGGCGGTGTAGATGACGTAGCACGCTAGGGGTTCCCTTAGCCAGAGATATACTCCCTGTGATAGGCTATTCCTCACATTCCGTCTCTCTCTCTCTCTCTTCTCCAATTATTTGGAAGGTTAGTGTAAGTGTTTACTTCAGTGTAGCCCTTTCGAGACTGAGGGAGCTTTGGTGCTGGTAGTCAAGCGGTTCTCGTCTGCAGTTGAAGTCTTCCCCGTTCATTCCTTTTTGCTTTTGATATTCCTTTTATTTTGTAGTTATTTGTAAGGACCACATTTTAAATACAAAATAGCCATGGACAGCATCAAGAAGAAGATGATCGCCATGAAAATGGAGAAGGAGAATGCCCAAGACAGGGCTGAACAGCTGGAGCAACAGCTAAGGGATACAGAAGAGCAGAAAGCGAAGGTAAGCAAAAACGTCGACAAAACCAGAAAAAACATCGTTTTTTCAAACACAATTTATTTCAAACTAAACTCGATAATGTAAGAATGTCTTCGTCGAGAATAATTCTATGAAATAATGTATATAATTGTGATTTCTCTTAAAGATTCTAAGATTTATGAAAATGAATATGTTTATTGCAAACGTTTGCTGTTAGAAGCAAAATGGCATCATTTGCAGACACTTTGCGGCCATCTTGAAATCTGATCTTATGCCTTCTGAACTCGATACCTATTTGGCATGATGTCTTCAAGCTAAGAGCAAACTTTGTTATGTTTAAAATTGATTGCATTCTTGTTGTAAACTAACAACTGGTGTTGTTGTTCTGTATTCATTATTATACTCAAGGATTTCTCATCGGGAAGTGTCGCATGCGCTCTTTTCTTTGCGCTAATCATTGCAAAGCATGTGAAAAAAGCTGAAGACGATTCCCTTTATCTTTCAAAGTCCCAGTGTCTATAGCATTAAACCCTATGTAAAAAGGAAAACAAACTGTGTTGTACTTGATTTTTCTAACATTGTCCAAGTTTAATGTGGTCAATAAGGTCAACAATTCAAATCGCTTAATTTTTTGCAGATAGAGGAAGATCTCACATCACTGCAGAAAAAGCACTCCAACTTAGAGAACGAGTTCGACATCGTCAACGAAAAGTACCAGGAATGCCAGGCCAAGTACGAGGAGGCAGAGAAAAAGGCTTCCGAGGTAAGCAGACGATATTTATGATGTCATTTTAGAGTTATAAACATGGCGAAATCTTTATGGAAACCCTCCCCTTTCTCCGTATACATTGCATGGCTAGCTTTCTCAATAGTTTGGAAGCCCAAACTTTCAGCTTTCTAGCTTCTGTATGGGTGGTGTTCATGTGGATTTTTTTTCTCTTAATTACATGTAATTAACATGTATCGTCTTAATACAAACTTCACTATCAGTGTTGTAAATGTATACTATATGAGTGTTGATGTAGAATGTTTACATTGGAATTCGGACAAAATCGGTATATTTCTAACAGTGTGTGTTGTTGATTGATGTTTGTTCAGGGATTTAAAGGATTGGAAAAATTTACGCAGTGCCATGTTTGTGGTTTAATTTTCTGCACTTAAAATCCTTAAGCTGCAACAGACGCTTATCTGCAGCAGATAATGAAGCGCACACTGTCTTACACCTGATGTGACGTCACGGCTCCCTATATGGGAATGTAACGCGAAGAATGTTCTGCCAGTCACTGCGCCGGAACCAGGGCTCAGTATTGGCTTTGCCGATAATTGCTCTTACTCCGTCGCATCGGAGCACTATTTATAGCCAATAAAATACTCAAATGTGACCCCGATTTAGATTTCAAAACAAAGTACACGTGGTCAACGACTTTAAAGATTTAAAAAAAAATAATTGAGGAATAATAAATTTTAAAGTTCTCGGGGAAAAACCCCTTATCACGACCTTGGATTTGTAATAAGTTAGAATTTGATCGTATGGAGAGGAGCGGTGATTCGGACTTAGTGGACACTAATAAATGGACGGATAGTTGTGATAGTTTACAAGTGGACGCTGATTTAGGGATGGGACTTTCTCAGGATTCTGTGGTCAGCATGTCGTCTTCCCAGCTCTCTCAGGACTCCGTCACTTCTTCACATTCCATGGACCTTACTTCGGATCTCTTAACAGACGTGACTGGAAAGAAAAAGAAAAAATCAGGAACGAAAAAAGTGAAAAAGAAAAAAGACAAGGGTGTTGGGGATGGGGGGACAAGTGAGAAAATTAAAAAAAATAAAAAGGACAAAAATAAAAAGAAATTGGCATCTGGATCTTCCTCGTCCGTCCGACCAGAGCCAGAGGGGGGTAACCCCGTGACCCACCCTCCAATGGATGAATATGACCGAGTGATATACAGCAATGACCCGTTATTTTCGGACATAGAGATAAGTGAGGAGGAGGAAGTAAAACCCAGACGTCCCTCCCGGCCTGGGGGTCTAATGTTCTCGTGTTTGTCCCTTGGAATTCAGTCGAATACAATGATTAAATATGCAATTATTGGAACAGAAGTACAGAATATCTTAAAAGTTTCCTTAAGACGGGTATGCTTTCCCAAATAGTTTTTAAGGAGATGCTTTTCCTATCTCGCCGTAATGTTTTAATTCTTCAACCCTCTATTTGCTTGTTATGCATTTTAAAATCATGTCTGTTCAATAGATACGTTCATTCTATAATTTTTCGTTGCTGGAGTGTTTCCAAATGATCAAGATGTTAAGAACAATGAGATGCGTGCGCCTTTTCCCTCGTGTTTTCTGAAGTTTTGTCTGTTTTTACTTTTTTTCCCACTTCTTCTTTGTATTAGAATTCTTCTTGAGCACACGCCAGGTTGCTTTCTGCTGCGCAGGCACCATCCTCACTGTTGCCAAAAATAGACCGAGGTAACATGACTCGCCTGCTGCAGAGGAACACATGTCGGGGATTTATGGCAAATGTTTTGTTGGTATTTTATATTGCACGCAGTAGGGGCTCCGCGATCTCTCTTACCAGATTAACTTAACGGTCATTTGTCAGTAATGATCACATGTAATAAGTGTCCAGTCGTGCGCCGCAAGACAAATGGCAACATGTGGTCAGACGGGGATGAGCCTAGCGAAACAAAGCAACTGAATAAAATCTCATCAGAATTTAACAAAACTAGGGAAAATACAACTGAGCAACATTTAAATTACTCATGGTCTAATCGGTGATAAGAAAAATAAATAAACATAACTCTTTGTCAGTACTTGATATAGTAATGTACTATACAATATAGAAGCCAATACTAATGTACAGTGCCCAGAAATACCGTCTAATCATTGCCACCTTTGTTTCAATTGTCAAGGAATCCCCCCCTCCCCCTTTCAACTGAAAATTGCTTCCTATGTGCCTAAATAAAAATGAGATTTTGTAAAAATACATATGAAGTAGAAGTGGTTTTGAAAGGTTATTTATATTATTTGCGATTAAAAAAAAAATTAAAAATTTCCTAACTGTGAAAGTAATGGAAACACAATAATTATCAAAATATTAATTAATTATTTCCTATTTTACGAAGTGCGAATTATTTTTTGCCATATATGGAATAAATGAACAAACAAGGGCGTAAAGCCAAAACACGAGACAGCCAGGTAAATATTTTTGGGTCAAATTAGTCATGTGACTTTATTTTGCATACTATCCTTCACCATTGATGGGACAGGACGCGTAGTGATATACAACTGAGCAACTTTTAGGATAACCCAGCGAATGCATGCCATTTAATTTTAGGAAAACTTTATTTTAATTTGAAGGATCTCACGAAATCAATAAGGAATATTTTTAAGTTTATACGGACTAACTATACTATTTTAACGCGGAAGAATAAGGAATTAGAGTGAAGCGGTTAAGACCGGCGAAAATATCTACCATTTTTGTGTGGATCTATATACACTAGGATAAAAATTTAACCAAAATGTCGCTAGGAGGTGCAGGCACTCTCAAAGCCCTTAAGGACAAAATGGGCGCTTTAAGGGAAGAAAATGACATTCTAAAGGAAAAGTTAGAAGTTCAAATTCGCATTACAGACAGCCTTAAACAGGAGAAAGAGAATGTAGGTGTTGGCCATATTCATTTCCGCTGTTAATATGTCCCGAATTTCCTCGGGATATTTAGCATGTGGTTCTCAATAATGATTGCTTAACTTCTTATGTATATATATTTAAGTTGTTTTATAAAAAGCACTAATAATGAAACCAAGTCATGAGCAGACATGATATTTATGTAGTATTTCTTTCCAAATAAGTTTAATCATGTTGAGATCTGATGTGTCATTTTTAAAATAACCTTGTTTGTAAATGTGAGGTTAAGATGTACTCACAAGTTTCTAAGACTAGGTGAGTGTTCAGTGTCAAATTTGAGACTTGGAGATTTGGACTGGGCACTTGTTCTTCCATTTCATCAGTCTGCTCTTATAATATTTATCATGAATATGCTTGCTATGGTGGTGAAATGTCCTATGTCCCTGTTTGGAATTTTCATGGCATATAAATTTATGAAACTCCAGCATGTTTGAGGCTTCAGTAAACTTAGATGGGTAGGGGGTATTTTATCTTCAACAGGGATCGACATTAACGGTTGTCCGATTGCCCGGGGCAAGTAAATTCTCAGTACGGGCAAGTGAAACTGCTGATGTACTTGTCCGATCGGGCAAGTGAATATTTGATAGATTTTTTAAATCTTATATTAGTTTATAAACAAAACAATAATTTGAACATTTGATTTCTACCAGGAATATATGACATTCTTTTTGTAGTCGGAAATTCTCGGTAGCGCCGTTTATTCAAAAATCAGGTTCGTTATTCCATTTTTCTTTCATGGTAGTTGACAAAACTGACTTCTTAACATTCTTATTATGAAATATGATATTTAAAAATAGCTCATTTATTCACTCACAGAACATAAAGAAAACCAGTTATTCTCGGCACACGATGTATTCTGATAAGGATATTTATGTTTCAAAACATGGCCAATGTTTTTCTTTAGCGTGGCTTCAGTTTTTCAGGGGGAAAAAATCTAAATTCACAAAAAGATCATTAAGAAAATAATTTTCAAAAATATGAATTTTATTTAAAAGGAGATATTGCTGCATGGCAGTGTGAGTTTACAAGTATTTAAAATGTAGCATCACCTGCACATCAAGATATTCTTGCCAAACATAAAAAAAAAATCTCACTTTATTTACAATAATAAATTAAGTTACCGGTTTCCCTTCTTTCTAAATTTTGGGCAACCAAGTTTTGTATTCGGACAAGTCAAAGTTTGAGTTCACTTGCCCAAAGGGCAAGTGAATCTGTAAGTTGATGTCTATCCCTGTTCAAGTGAAGAACTATCATTGAAATCTATCATATTATCGTCTTGGTAATTTATCAAGTGACATGTGTCTTACTAAATTCGTAGAATGTTTGAGGTTCCGTAAATATTAATTTCTGAAGAAAAATTTATTAGTTTCAACAAGGCTACTTCATAGATTTTACAAAAAAGGTAAAGTTTTTTGGTAAATGAGGTTTGGTAAATAATGATTTCTGAGGAAAATGTTAGCAATTGATTTCAACAAGGATTTGGCTCATTGTAAATTTTGACAAGCCTGCTGAGTCCTTAGTAATTTTTAATTGATTTCAAAATGCTACTCTTGATTGATTTCCTAAGTATAGGTTGCCATTATACAGTACTTCAGACATTACTGTGTGGGACTTTTAGACATTTACGCTGGTGATGGTTCTGTGTGTAGCAAGGAAGGAAAGCTCAAGAATTTGTTTCCTTTTTAGCATCAGAGGCCAGTTATTTGTACAATGACCTTGTTAACACTTGTTTCCTCCCTTAGGAATGTGCAGGATGAATTATATTTCATATTTTCACATCAGCCAATTTGTAGAGACAACTATGCCCAATTGAAACAAATAGCTGATTTTATCAAGGAAGGGTGTAGGCTATAACTGCACCATTAGATAGGGACTTTTGTTTGGGAAAGTGTTTATCAGTTTTTTTCTGTAGCTTGGGTTAGAGTTACCCTATCAAACACATACACACACTGTAAACTGCCACTATCAGAGGTCAACCTTATAAACAGCGGCCTGACCTCATAAAATCTACATTTACTACCTCCTCTATATAGATAACAAAAAGACATAACATAAAGCACTTAGCAAAGGAAAATTAACATATAGTAATGATAGTCTTTATGCAATGACTAATATGTTAATTATATGTTAATGAGGACATCAGCATAGTGAGGTTATATTTATGAATAAGGACTTCTAAGTCAGACAGGTATTCATTGATGGAATATGCAAACCTGCAATGTTATGTAAAAGTGCATATTTAGGATTACACATACTGGGAATTCATTGCCTTGGGACTAGACCACAAAATTATTGACAAACTGCATACAGATATACTTAGTCAAAACCAGTAAACAATACTAATGACCCTAAGAATGTGTCAGAGTCATAATGTAAACAAGAACTTCACCACTACTGATTCAGGTTTTGGTGTCTTGTATTCATAAGACCTCGGGTCCTCATTGCTTAAAAAAAACCTCTTAAGTCAATAACTGTGTTTATACAAAGATATTGACACCTGCAACATTTTTTATTTGATTTATAACTAGACCAGATGGCTATCAGTCCTGTCCCTGAGGGATACACTCGCAGGTGATCCGGTACTGAACCCTATCCCTGAGGAACACGGTTCACAGGTGATCTGGTACTGAACCTGTTCTGTCTCCTACATTGTCATCATAATATTAGGTTTCTCTGCACCAACAATTTTCTCATTCAGTTATAGTTTACCTGTGATCTATATAAATAGGAAGATATTTATTTTAACGGTTTAAACTTTCTCTCGCCTGTCTGAGCAATGGAGGAATTTTCTTTGGGAGGTGTGTACAGTAGCGGCGACCTTGTGTGAGTCATAGCTCCCCTGTGTTATCGGTGAAGCTGCTGACAGGGATAAAATACTGCAGTCAAAATTTTTCAGAGAGTGTATGCTTGTGTTTTATAAAGTTAGCAAAATGAATCATATTTCTTCATTTTCTCCACCTAGATCGTGTCAGCCTCTACTTTGGCTGGGAGATATTTGAGTTTACATCATGTAAACACAGATATTTTGTCCCTGTATGACTGCAGGGATCTCTGAGGTTTTTGATACAATATATTTTTAAAAAATGCAATAACAGCCCAAGGGGATGTTCTTTTCTGAGTGTTATGCATTAGTAACCCATGAGAATATTTTGTGTTATAGATAGCATTTGATCCAAGTTGACTATGAAAGAGATGGATAGTTGTTTCTGGGAAGATAAGCTCTATTCATATTTTGATCAATGATAATAAATTTGTAGGTTAGCTAACACAATGTGCCAGTTGTTACACACACATGTAATCTACAAAATTCCTGTCTGCATGCATGAGACGTAGTACATGTTTTCAGCAAGGTTTGAAGGATTTTTGAGTAATTTTTATACTCATTTTAAAAATTCAGACTTTAGGGTTAGCAAAGTTTCTGAATGAGTTTTGTTACACACTGTCTTGATGTGTGAATGTACAACAGGGATACAATTTTTACAAAAGATAAGTGCCCGGTGAGATAAGGACTTAAAAAGGAGTCATAAAAGGTTAAGTAGAGGCGGTATAATTTTTTATACAAATATTGTCCCCTCTAATCAGCTACACATGTTTACATCAGAAGGTGTAGCTTGGTATTTTAATATAGGACCCTGCCATTGACTGTGTAGTATTTGATTTATGTGGCCTTTAGTCACGGTTAAGTGCTTTCTGTTGAATTTAAACTAGACCTTCACAGATAATGCATGGTTGTAAGATGAATGCAAGGAATCTGGGCTTGATTTAAATTACCTCAACATGAGGATTGTTTATTTCTGTTCTACTTAAATGTCTCTGACTTGTACATATAGAGCTATATGACCCATAGCAAGAGTTTTACATTGTTAAAAATATTCAATGTTTGTTAACTTACAAGGAAATGACTTAAAAAGCTTTTTAAGAATGAACCAATCCACATGTAGTTGCTCCATTGAAGTATGATTTTCCTGCGAATTCTGAGTTAAATCCAAATTTTAGAAAAATTGTGCAGTACTAGTACATATAAGATATTACATGTACTTGTAGAAAGAAATTAAAATTTGTCTTTCGTTAGAATTCAACTTGTGAAGACTACAGTTAATACAATGACCCATGTTAAATACATATTATATAAAGGTTACCAATAACACAAAGTGTGATCCTCATTAGAATGATCTGTTCATATCTAGACAAGTGAAATTGTCTATATATATATATATATATATATATATATATATATATATATATATATATATATATACAGTGGCGCCACGTTTATCCGGACGCCATTTATCCGGACGCTTCACCTTCCGGACGATATTTTTGGGGAACCGATTTTTTCCACGTTATTCTGTCTCATTAATCCGGAAATTCGCGTTCCGTATCCGGACGGTCGATTTCTACTACAAAACGTAATAGTTCGTTGAAAAAATGACTCGTTTATCCGGACGGTAATTTTTCAAGAAACGGCTTTTTCTCACCCATCTTGCAGTAGTGTTAATTGTTGTAAAAACATTGGCCATGTAGTCAGTTAAAAGGCGGTTACCTGTGACCTACAGACAAAAGCGTCTATAATTAATCTATGTGTTTACCCCAATTAAATCACACGTCTATTATGAAACTCGAAGAATTTCGCTTACATTGTGCATTACTTAAATTATAATCCGTTCAAAATCATATTGCTTACCGTATATACATCGGTAAATTCATGAGAATTTTGGAGAGTTGTAAATAAAAAGAACAATAAATTACGAGCGATTTCGTAATGGTCTTGATCATGTTGACTATTAGTTTAAAACGCTTTTTTCTACATTAGGCAGAAAAGAAATATCTTTCTATTTAATGTATTACCGTCTATAAACGTACGTTACTTTAGAAAAGAAATATAAAGCTGGCGTTACGTATAGAAGTTGATTACGTTTTTTCAAGGTATTTTTTGTGATCGAAATTCAAACTTAGAGTCTTTAGAAAAAAATAATTGATAATCATTAAGATTGCTTGTGTTTATGTTGAATGTTTACAATACTTTCACTGATTGCGCGTGTTTGAGATAGCTTGAAGTGTTCAGTTACTATAGTAGCCCTGTGTAAAGAATATACGGGAATATACAGGTATCAAATGTAAAGGCAAAGGGAAAAAAACTGATATTTTGGTTTAAACTTTTTATTTTTTAGCTTTAAAAGAAGTAATTAAGTAAAGAAAAAAATATATTAAAATGTAATTTATGCGATAAAAAAATTGATACTAGGCAATTTTATGCTGAGACCTTTTTTAATGCAGGCTATTTTATTCGCCTTCTCTTTTGGCGTGAATTCATGAGCTGAGAAAATTTTGATCTACTCAGCATGTGCATATACACATGCTTGGAGAAGGTTTTTTTTTTTTTTAGAAGCGATTCACTTATCCGGACGATTCATTTATCCGGACGTTTTTGTTGGGAACGGAGGCATCCGGATAAACGAGGCGCCACTGTATATATATATATATATATATATATATATATATATATATATATATATATATATTATATTATATAATGTCATTTAGATACCTGTAAATTTATATTGTAAGTTTTCAAGTGTGATATACATTAAGTTCCGGAATACCTGTGTTGTATGCTTTCACATGTAGTTGATGTCTACTATATCCAATGTTTTAATATGTTTTAGTCAGAACAAGAGATCCAGAGTTTGAACCGAAGGATCCAGCTCCTGGAAGAAGACATGGAGCGATCCGAGGAGAGGCTCCAGACCGCTACAGAAAAGTTGGAGGAAGCTTCCAAAGCCGCAGACGAGAGCGAAAGGTACCCCCCACCATTTCTCTCATTACCAAAATATCACTCCAGTCTGTCTATAATGGCATAGCTACTAACTGCACAGTAAAAATAACTTTATAGGCACAATTTCATTTACTTGACAAGATAGTTTCAAGATTCACATAAAAAAAATTAATGAAAACTGAGAACTAAACTTTGAAATCAATTTTTAAATTAATGCAATTTGACACAAATATATTTATTCATTGCTTTTCTCATGTATTTATGCTACTTGAAGTTCGATGTAATAAAATATATTGTTAATCATGTTAATTGTAAACTCTATACACCAAACTAAGATTTTTCAAAAGTAGAACTATGATTCATCTCATAATTTTAAAACAGGACAAAAATAAAAATTTGATTTTCTTTGAATGTTTGGATTAAAATATGATGTAAATCTTAGATGTTGAAGGAAAGCTATGGTGTATAGGGTACCTGTATGAGACAAGTTTACATGAGTTGCCTCAGGACCTCAGATTGTAGAGAATTTGTTAACGCTTTAGAATCAGTAGACCAGAACTGCCTAAACTGTCCAGAATGCTGTAGATAGCATTGATTTTTCTCTACCTGCACATTGGCTGTGTCCAGGCTTGTTCAGGTATCCTGTGTACAAAATGAATTCTTTGCAAACATTGGTTCCGAGGCATCACATGTTGATATAACCACAAATCTGTATTTGTTGGAGTATATTGGGAAAATATCATCCCTTGATATCTTGGCAATTTGGTCTTTGAAGAAGAAAAGGAAAAGGGGAGGGGGTTTATATCAATTAAATATGTGTGGGAATGTGAAATTGAAAAATCTTTAAGATGAGAATCATCAGCTGCTTTTATGCTGGGGATTACATCTTACAGTTATGTTAGGAGTGTGATACAGGATTCATAGATCTGCAATTTTAAGTCCTCATTTGATTGTTTGCACTAAAATTTAACTTTAAAATTCTATTTTTATGCTCGCCCTTATCAGTTTGTGATTCTAATGATTTCTTAGGGGATGGATTAGGTAAACTGGGCCTTTATTGCGAAAACATGTAATTAATTTTCCAAAAAATGGAACAGAAGTTTGAAGTGTCTGCAGTAAATAAACTGTTTAATAGAATCTATTTTGAATGGGGATTGTGACTGAAGTATTATACTTATTTAGCATGGTTCTGCATGTGGGTATATTTGTATGAAAATTGTCAAAAATACATGAAATGTAAATTGTTATCTTGTATGGAAAGTTGAAATCTGTTGGCTTATTGAAGCAAAATCCTTTTTGAGTACTTGTAATTGTCAATTATTCATAATCCTCCATTTGACATGAATATAGTAAGAAATATCTGTATATAATTGGTATACCAACATGTAATGAAGTTACAGAATAGAGAAAATAACGACTTATGAGTTTAAAAATTAATTCCTCATACACCAACAGAATTCATCCTCTTTAATATATATCTTAATATTACTATGGAAGCATGTAATCCAGGAGAAAGACTGGGTAAGTTTTCTCTAGAAAATGTTTGTTATTTTTGGGATACCAGTCCTAAAAACAAACATTTTCTGACTCCAAGCTCTATATATAGACCTGTATATAGCTTGGGTAGTCGTAGTATGTCTCTAATGCCAAAGGGTGATGGAGGGAAAATACTGGGGAGGCAAAATGATCTTTGAATTTACGTCACCAAAATTCTACCTTAGCCAGTCACAAATTTCTGCACTCTTATAAACAGTGGCTTCTTCATATCTTCCTTAACACAATATTCCTTGATAAAGTCTGACAATGGTTAGACATCAGCACTTCTATAAAGGTTAAAAACACTACCTGTAGTGGCTTCCCTGTTCATTAAAGCATAAAATCTGATTGGCTAACTGTTGATGCTAATTAAGTGTTTTACCCAATGGCATTAGAGGTCGCAGGACCCTAGAGAGCAGAAGCAGGACAGATGAAAATAGAATGGATGACATGGAAAGCAAATTGCGACAACTCACAGAGGTCGCCGAGCAGGCTGAGAGCCGATATACAGAGGTAATAATACCCATAGCCAAAACATTATTGCATGTTCTATCAATTTTTAAACAGAGCCCGTCGATGCTTAGAAAATAAGAGTTTATTGGATGATGGCCGGATAGACCAACTTGAAATGAACATGAAACAGATGGAACAAGTGGCCAATGAGGCCGAAAGGAAATATGAAGAGGTATGTAGCCATGGTAACCCCATGGTGACAATTGGATGTTGTTCTAAGCAGGAAGTTGGGGATACCTTAAGGTTTGTGTGGCTATTAATGGAGTCAAAAGATTTCTTCTTTTCCAGATGAGGATAACTAAGCTTTTGATTTTGTTTCAGATGTCATCAGAATGGAAATACTGAAACTAATGTTTTTTTTTGTTTTTTTTGCTTCTTAATCTTTTTATTTGTCTGATTGTAACAGAGCGCGAAAAGTTTTAGAGAGCAGAAGTTTTACTGATGATGAAAGAATCGACGCTTTAGAGGCCCAACTTAAAGAGGCTAGATACATAGCAGAGGATACCGACAGAAAATATGATGAGGTCCACTTAGCAAATCCTTATACTCACCATAAACCTACATATACTGGCATGCAGCCTGTAATCTTTGTCATGTCACTTTAACACTGTAGCAGCTCTGCTTCTTACCTTAATCTTCTTTAGAGAATCAAGTGAGACCTTAGAAATAGTTCATACAACCCACATCTAAACCAGGGAGATCAAAACTACCATCTCAAGAAGATCATCCATGGCTTGTAGTTTATTATGGGTTCATTTCTAGTGTGACAAAGATTTAATTTAAAATCATATCTTCTTCCACCAGAAACCGTAAGGTGTTGGAAAACCTCAATAACGCTTCTGAAGAGAGAACGGATGTCCTAGAGAAACAACTCACTGAGGCAAAGTTGATCGCAGAAGAAGCTGACAAAAAATATGATGAGGTGAAGCACGCAACTCTAGACTCTCGCAAAGCTTAGCAGCAAGCTTATTACATATGTACATTTGTGTATTCAAAACTAATGTTAGGGAGAAATAATATTTTGGGGAGTAACATCATATGTATGTATGAAATAAGTTTGTAATCACTGTGTGTGATAGTGATGTTTAGCTTGATACGAGAGTCGTGCATCCCTCAGTAGTTGTGAAGAGTTTTGTTTCCTCCCATTGAAAGTCAATAACACCACCAACAATAACAGACTTCGTATGTTTTTTAGGAGTTTTCTGTTTTGAATTTAGTAGTTAATGTGTTCTCTTTTTTCATATTGTGATGTCAAAGAGATGTCATTTAAAAATTAAACCCTCTTTGAGACAACCCCCAATCACAGCCATGAAACAGAGAACAGTATCGGCCATCATTCCCATAGTTACCCCATAAACTTTGCCTTTTTTCTTCTGATTTAATTTTCTTGATCTCTTTCATTCTTAAATTTTATAACTTCATTAAATTTTACCAACCTTATCTGACTAGATGAATATTGCATCATGGAGACTACAAACTATTGGAATGCATGGCTGATTATCTAATATAGAAACCCTGACTTATTAACACGACACTGCTGATATATGAAGGATAGAAGGCATAAAAAGAATTGAAAAAGTTGATTCTCATCCCTGAAGGATCTTTAACATGTGAAAAATGTTATGCCCGAACATGATGCAGTGGCAAACTTGATTGTTTTTCCAGTAAAGGAAACAAAAACTGCTCGTATAACAAGGACCTTCATGTATCACAGTGAATGTCATTATATTTACAGGATTGTGAATGCTGAATGAAGCCTGGCTATTTTTACTTATTGATCTAATTAGATACACAGGATTGCTGGTAGGAACAGACAGGTGCTTTAGGATCTGCATCCTGTTTTACGAAAGAACTTATGACTAAGATCAAAACTTTAAATGACTATAAAATCTTTTCAGATTAATTATTTTACGAAAAATTGCTTGCATAAATATATTTTACAAAATTCTTCTGGAAAAGATTCATACAATTTTCAAATCATTGTAAAGAAAGTAGTTATTTGCAAAATTATATTTCAGTCTTAGTCGTAAGTTCTTCTGTAAAATAGGCCCAGGGCTGTAAAGCACCTGCTCCTTGTTATTGTTTAGTTTTGCATTTTCAAGCTGATTTTTATAGAAAATCAAAATTTTTTATTTATTTATTTATTTAAAAATCAGGCTGAAAAATATTTTTTTTCAGTAAATTCTGCATTTTTCTCTGTAGTTTTCTCAATGATAGTTTCAGAAAAATATAGAAAAATCAAATTTTTAGTAGATTAATCAGTTGTGAGGAAAAAATCAGGCTTAGGCCAACTTTAAAATAATGTTTGTTTGCCCTCTCCCGACTCAGGATGAAAATATTGGGTCAGTAGGTAGGTGGGAAATTTTTTTTCCCAGAAAATTTCAACATCAATGCTGAATTTTCAAAATTTATTAATTGGAGGTTTAAAAAAAGTTTTGAGTCAGGCCATTTTTAGCCAGTCAGTTGGGAGAGGGCAACCAAAGAATTTTTTAATGATGGCTTTATTTAGATTTTATACCGGAGGTTAAGTGAGTTGTCAATGTAATAGCTCTTTCTGATATTGAAGGGAAAGTTCTATCTTAAAAAGTCTGAACATCTGCAGAATTTACTGAAGAATTGATAGTTTGAATGAAATTAAACTGATCTTGTAAACATATTTTTCTTTTGAATGTTTTGTTGATTGTATCATGATTATGTTGTTTGTTCATATACATTGACATTTTTAAATTAATATTTGAAAAAACGGATAAATATATATCATTTTATCTTATTTTTAATTAATGTTAAACGTTTGTTTGAATCTGCATAAGTAACCTTATAGAGTGATTGACGTTAAATGTATAGCTCAATATTGAGAAAGTTTAAGTTTTGAACTGAATCATGTGAAAAAAAAAACATTTTGAGCTATACATTAATTGTTTTTGTTGTTTGTGATAGCAAGGCATGTCATTTCGAGTTTTAATTATTATTACTAACCCAAACAACGAATGTTTGAAAAAAGTAAAAGACATAATCTGTTCAGGATTCAAAAAAAGTTTAAATTTCATATGAAGAACATTTACTGAAATGAATATCATTCAAGTTAACAAAATTTTGTTCTTAAATTTGGAGTAAAAGTCCATTCTGGACCAAAATTGACTTGATTTTTGGGGCTTTTGTTGACTTTTGACTGACTGTGTCACAGGCAGCCCGTAAACTTGCTATCACAGAGGTGGACCTTGAACGTGCAGAGGCTAGACTTGAAGCTGCTGAGGCGTGAGTATCCAATGGACTTCCTGTCCAGTTCTAGGAATGCCTCAGAGTTGTGTCCCCCTAGTTAGTTTTATTAACACTGTGTGTGTGTGTTTTCAGTCTTGCTTGTACCAGATTAACATTTTGTAGGCTGCACGAAAATTATGTGTACTTGAAGGAGAATTAGAAAGAGCAGAGGAACGTTATGAATTAGCAGAAAGGTTTGTCTTAAATAATCTTAATGCTAAATTGATTTAAATAATGTTTCAGAACAATGTATCTTTTAAAAAAAATAAATCATATTTTGTGTAAGAATAATATCATTAAAGATCAGCAATGCATTTTTAAATTCAATGTTGAGGAAATGAAGGTTCATATGAGTGTACTGCATGGAGTTTTTATGCATGAGTGACTGTCTTTGGGGGGGGAGGGAGGGGGGTCTAGATAGGTATATTTAAAAATAAATGAATTTGAAGATTTTACAGATTTCACTTTGAACTAAACATGGGGAAATTGGAGATTAACTGTTGCTGATCTGTTATGCTCACTGCAAGAGAAATTAAGAAGAAATAAATGTTAAAGGGGAAGGAATATGATTGAAGAAATTACCCCCAAAATTGTTCAAAAAGTTTGGGGGGTGGGGAGGTGAACTGGTGAATAGAGATTCAGTTTATTTTGTTTGAAAGGGATTTATTGACATCCATGCATGGTTTACTAATTTGTGTATGTTTTTGTTGTTTTCCCTTTACAGCAAAGTTAAGACTTTAGACGATGAATTGCATGCAGCCACTAATAGCCTTAAAGCTTTAGAAATTTCTGATGAAAAGGTATGTACCATGTATCAATGATCAGGTGAGCTAAACTTCCAGAGAGCCCCAGCCCTCTGTAAGTCTGGCCCGGCCACTGATTTACAGTAAGATGATGTGTCTATACATTGGGTACAAACAGTTCAAACATTAACAGATACCTTCCCCACTTTTCCCAGAGCATGTCATTTGCACGCCTTTGTTTTGTGTGAACAGTATATTTGAACTGTTCAGCCCAGTGTGTACACACCGATTCAGTCTGGATATTTTCTGAAACGGCTCTGTTACCCAAATTTCTGGAGTTGGTGTGGCATGTTGTGATGGCAACTGACTGCATGCTTCTCTGGTTCCCAGTGTTGTGTGCATTCAGTATCTATTTCAAAACTGTTTTATTAAAAAGTTCAAAAAATTACAAAGCACAGTACCTTTTTTTTCTTTACATTTCATTTCATTTCATACATAGAGAAAAAAAAAAAAGAATCTCATTGATTAAATATGAAATTCCTATAGTCTGTGGGCTGTAAATTTGGAAGATTATTACTATGGAGTAATATTAATTATTTAAATGTAAAAAAAAAAATTATGTGGGATAAAGTTGAAAAAAAAATATACATTGGCTAAAAAATTTTTTTTTTCAATAAACAAAATCAAGGAAAAAAAAAAGATTTCGTACAATGTAAAGGCCACCTGACATGCCCGTAAACCTTCTCTTGTACCATTACAGCAAAGTTTATGAACTAGAGGAACAACTATCAGTTGTGGCTAACAATATCAAAACCCTGCAAGTTCAAAATGACCAGGTAAGGGGGAAATTATCCAGGCTGGATCAAACAGGGTGCAACTTCACAGGAAACCCAAAGGCTGAGTCAGAAACCAGTTCCTTGTTGCCTTATTGAGATGTGTCTTTTGGGTGCTTATGTTAATGAAACAAATCTGCCTAGCTGAAATATCATTGATATTTAAGGACTTAAACATGGAACAGGTTTTTGATGTTGAGGACAGGCCATCTTGGTGTTCTGAAGTGGGGCTGCATGCCTGAAATATTGTTTGGAAATGTTAGTCTTAATTTCTAATATTGCAGGAAAGTTTTGGAGTTGGAAGAAGAACTTAAGGTGGTTGGCAACAATATGAAATCATTGGAGATCAGTGAGCAAGAGGTATAAAAGTCACTCCCAGTGTACCTCAGCTGGTGTGCATGACGATGTATGCAGGCCTCTAAGCATGCTCACATTTGGTTACATCAGAATCAACATTGACCTTTTAATTTTCTGTTTTTGGTTACATTATTTGTATACATATCAAAAACAACAAGAATGTTGTCTTTGTTTATACAGAGAAGGGAAAAGAAATGCAAGACTATTTTATTAATTTAAACTTTTTGAAAATATATCATTATAAATGCATACTTTTTCACTTGCACATTGCCCCTCAGTGCACAATATTAAACTTCTTATTTACAACAAAGAAAGAACATGATTCCCCTTTGTGAGAGGGACAACAATATAACTGCCTACTGCATGACAAGATCCCATATACCCTGGTAAAGAGTTCATCAGTCTTTTCTATTGAGAAATTAATTCATTGGCCTGCAGTCTAATTTTTGATTGGTTGGAAAAAAAGGGGGGGTGGAAACACTAAGTATGGAATTTTTAATATAATTTGGAGGAATACATGCCTTTAAATACATGTATATATTTATTGAGGCATTCAAATCAAAATCTCAGTCATTTACGTGTAGCAAATCACTTCAGTTAATCCTTCATTAGTCTTGCATTTTTTCCCCCACCAACCTTAAGGATTGTATAGTGTTTTGGTTTAACATCAGATAAATAGTTGTATAGAAGTATAGACCACTAGGATCATACAGTGGCTCAGTTCACAAAACAACAGCTTGTTTGGATACATACTGTTGGTGAATTATCAAAAGTTGTCAAAAGATGTTTTTTGTGAATGTCCTCAGATTGACGACATTAACAAATCAGTCCATCAGTGGCTCAAGACTCGAGAGAAGTACAAACTCTTTAGCTGTCAAAGTGATTCAAAAGAAAATCTCGGGCAACTGATAGACCAAGAGTAAAAATAACCTGAATATGTGCATGATATAGCTAGAATCATCCATTATGTTGAGAACTGAAATATGTGACAGCATAGAGAATGTCTACCATCAGTAATTGACTTGGGAGGGCGGTGTTGGCTTGGCCAGTGTTGTGTCCATCTCACTGTGCTTTTGTCCATGCTATATGTCCATGCTAAAGTGTACTTTCCATGCTAAAAGTCGTTACTGAAGCAAAATGTTTGAGTGATTTTTGTCCTTAATGGGGTAAATTTGCACACTGCATGATGAAATTATAATCTGTAATTATAAGATTTTGTGTATAATGTTCTTTGAGAAGAACTATTTGCCAAGACTAACCCTTGAGAAACTAGAGATTGTTAGTGTATGATATCAGTGTAATTTCTGTGCATGCTCCGTACTTAGTTTTGTTTTTTCGGCGTAGGAGTGAGAAATAAGCATGGAGTAAAATTCTAGATCTTCCTCCGACAAAATTGGATCAGAATTTAGGAGTACTGGGGGCTTGTAAATTGAACAGGAAGGTGCATTTCTTAGCCTAGTAGCACTGACAGAATTGCTTCACATATTTCAGTTACATGTATTTATTAAGATATTAGGTGTTCATTAAATTAATGTAAAAGGTTTAAAAGCTTTGAGAACAAAATCAATTAACCAGTTGTTTTGTTTCAGTGCAACTTATAATTAAGTATTGTTAAAGCTAGAAAAAATTAATCAAAAGTTTGTTTATTTCAGTGAGCATATGATGTCACTTGAATGTTTGTATATATGAAGTTTTGACTATAAATTTCAGGCTTCACAAAGAGAAGACAGCTATGAAGAAACCATTAGAGATCTTACTCAGAGGTTGAAGGATGTAAGTCTACCCTTTAATTCTATCTTCTGCTTTATTATCTGGCTTTTCAACTGCAATGTTTCAAGAAAAAGAAAAGAATTTAATATCTATTTTCAATTTTCAATATAAAGAAAAGGGAAAAAATGTGTTTTATTGGTAATCATTCAAGAGAGCTTTTCAGCTGTGTATCTTTAGTTCATTATATTTTTTGTGCAGCATTTTATTGTCAGTGTCCAAAGCATGTTCTGAAAGGGAGGGTTTTATGTACATAGACTATTGTGATTATAATTTAAAATTCCTAGTAGCATTTAATATTTTTAAAATTACAATTGGCTCTAAATCTATGTGAGATATATTGAGATATTTTGTGAGGTATATTGAGATATTTTATGAGATATAATGAGATATTTTGTGAGATAAAATGTGCGAGTCCCTCTCTTCAGGCTGAGAACCGTGCCACTGAAGCTGAACGAACCGTATCCAAACTTCAGAAGGAGGTCGACAGACTTGAAGGTAGGCCCAGCATGTCCAGAGGAGTTATCCCCCTTTAGTTCCCCCCTGCCCACTCCATATAGTGAGCGTTGTATCCCAGTTTTACAGAGGACCAAAATAAACATCTACAAAAATTAAACATAAGCATGAAGGATTTAAAAAAAAAATGTCTTCTGTAATATTCTCAGCTACAATATGTAGTATTAGTTGGCAACTTAGAACTTGGATACAACAAACCACTGGGAATGGCTGCCATATTAATTCAGATTTTGTTTTCAGCAAGTGCCTGGAAAGGAGTGTGCATTGTAGAGTGTTCCAAAACTAAAAGCATGAGAATGCTTAGTATATTTTGGTTAGATATAAAACATGACATTAACTTTTACAACAGAGCCAGAATCGAGCTGAGATTGCGGAGAGACAGGTATACACTCTCCAGCTAGAAAACGATAGACTGTCAGGTAACAATAGCACCTCGTCACCGTCCACAGGCTTCAGACATCCTCTCTTTCTGCCTTCTGATGTTTTAACTTTTTCTCTACTAGATTTTCATTTCATACGCAAAGGACCTTTTAGATCATTTAGGGCAGTGGCAAAAATAAATTAGCTGTAGCAAATTTAGATGACATTTTAAAGCTGCTTTTTATATAACAAATTAAGGAAGCGAATTAATGAAACCTTTTTTTTTTTTAAATTTAATATGTATTTGTGGAATGTGGAAAATTTTGCAGTATTTATTAACCTATTCATCATTATTTTGCGGAGTTATTTAATAAGATGATGTTTTTTCATAAGACTACATAACAATATTTGCCCTAATGCTTAAGATACCCTACACACAGAGAAATGATTTAATTAGCAAAAAACTATTATGCTTAAGATAAGAGGTCAGAAAAATAGTAGTTGTCTCCCCTTTTCGAGCACGCTCACTCTCCTAGTGTGGTCTATCACTACATTGTGCTTTGGTAAGTATCTCCACTCTGATTGGCTCTGATAACATAATGAATGTTGTAAAACTTGTCATGTGTCGCTGATGTTTCTCCAGCATTCTAAACACTTCCTCAAATGCCAGCTTAACAAATCATCATGATGTTTGAAAAAAAGGAAATTTTAATACAATTAATTTGTCAGAAAATGTATTTCTCTGTAAGGTTTACTTTTTTGTGTTAAATGTTAATTAGTGTGAAAGATAAAAAACTGAATTTTTCACATTATTTGAATAGAACTGTAGTAGTAATTTTAATAAGTGTATCTTGAACATGTATATTAAATTGTATTATATTACATGTATATCGTATCTGATATTTAATAACATTAAATAGAGTAGGTATTGAATAATTTTTGTAATCTTCAAACATTAATTCATTCATTTCTTTTTCTGAAATTTATTGATGAGAAGAACTTTTTTGGAAAATCTAAGATTTCTGATTTAATAGCATGAAGCATTGTAGGAACTCTTTTGATAAGTCACTTTTTGTTTAATTGTTTGTTGCATTAAGGTCAGTCTAGGAACTGACCACTGCATGGTGACTTGACCTATTGGCATGTGTTTGTGTGTGAATTCCAGATGACTTAGAACAGGAAAGAAAACAAAAACAAGAACTACAGGCTGAAATGGAGGCAACACTACAGGATCTCAATAATTTGTAGAACCAGGGCTAGTTTTAGATGATCTACACAATTTTGTACAGGTTTGATCCACCTTCATATTATTAACTGTAAACGCAAAGAATTTACTAATTGCATTTGCATGGAACTTTGAAATTTTTTAGTTTTGCATTGGATTGTATGTAAGTTGTTCATGTATGTCACAAATATTATACAAAGTTGATGTTTGCCCAACCCTCAATAGTAGTTATTGATTTAAAAGTACTCACCATAGCAACAGTTTTTCAAAAAGTGTCCCACTGACGTGCCTCAGACTGTAATGATTGAACATTATCACCAAGGAAATGGAAGCAAAATTGATCATCCAGCATTTTGAATTCCTTGTCCTTCTGCAAACATCAATGTGTTTTATGTTGACCTTAGTCCCAGGAAAAATGACTGCATCAATTTTTCTCTAGTGAGGAATTGTAAAGCAGTGTTTTTTGTGAATTTCAGATGAACTGCTTGCAGAAAAAGAGAGATACAAGGCCATCAGTGACGAGTTGGATCAGACCTTCGCCGAGCTCGCAGGATATTAATTTTTCCTCTCTTCCCTCACCTCTGTCACAAGGCCAACACACGAGATGGAAAGACTTTTTTCATGGCTGGCACACGGTCACTGTTGTAAATGAACATTTATTATATTTCATCTGTATAATGGTGTTAGAGATTTATTTAAAATGTGGACGGAGATTTTTCTTTATGACTGATCAAATGTATTTCATGAAGTGTTCTCGTGAACAAACTTTCTAAATTAAAAAAAAAAACATTATAAAACTACTGAGGGTGGACTTAGATCTTTCTTTTTTATCATCAACTCTTGTTTCTATATGTTGTATGTTTCAAATGATAGGTATGTTAAAAACAAACTAGGTTACTAAATCAGATAATATATATTTATATATGTTTATATGTGATACATATTTATATTGTTCTGTATATAGAACGATTCATTTTTTCGAATCTGCATTGAACTGCCAGACTTAGGGTTGCCAGACTTCGGGCCATTTCTCTCCAGTGCTCTAGTAACCTGGTTTTGTTTTAACATTTGGCTGTGGGGAATTTTGTTTGGTCAGTGGTGGAAATTTTGGGGCCATCCGAATGGCAACTTTTATATGGTGACTTCCAAATGCATATCGAGCCAAATTCAGGGGAATGCATTAAATTTGATGTTAAATAAATAAGACTTCCCATCCACTATAGACATGGCAATATCCAGCTTTAATTCATTTCTGTCGGCCATTTTGATGCTAAAATTTCCACACCTGTCTACGATTTACGACTGTATATATAATCCTTGTACACTATGTAAACATTATGTATGCCAGTGAAGGTTTACCATGTACAAGGAAACATCATATTTCCAATTATAGATGTATGTGACAAAATTTTGTCAGTTCCTTAATTTCTATCTTCTATAAATTTTATATGAAATTTGTTTATCTTTTTATCGTATTACACAGTTGTCATATTTTTACTAGACAAGCAATAGGACTCTGTAGAATGTACTAATATCTTGAATTTTGTTTACCAGTAGACAGGGGAGGCCACTCTCCGCTGGTCACGTGATATTCGCTTTCTCTACTGCTTGAGTCTTTTGTCCCTGGATATTGCCTTAACCGAAATAAACTGTACTTGCTTACCTGATCTCATTGTTTTGTACTTAATTATGTCTGATAATATATCCGTCAAATTGCCACAAACGGAGTTGATATGCACTTGGAACCAGACTTAACTGACGGGGCCCAGCGTTACAGAGTGTAACTTTATGAAATTTATTTGTATGTTTTCAATTTTGAGTAATTTTAAAAAGGGAATGATATTTCACTGAATGCTAAAAATCCTCACAATGTCAGGGGTCCTTTGTCAACTCTTTGTCGTGGGACCCCTGGCAAATTTCATTCATTTTATTCGGGCTTGCTTCTTTCATCTAGAAGCACCGATCAAATTGAAATACCGGTATACAGATAATGTATAGATAATCATTTGACACCTAAAATGTACGTTGTACGCATTATCACCGAAAAGCTTAATGTGATTGGTTGAGATGTAAGAAAAACAAGCAAGATTTTTAATTTTCACGAAAGTCGTTGCTGCAGTTAGCCCGTAAGATATCGAAAGAGAGGGGGCCTACAAGATGAGGAAAATCCCCCGCTCAATCAGCCTCAAAACGTCATGGGTCCTGTGTCGACTTGTTGCCGTGGGGCCCCCGACAGTTTTCATTCGATATTATTCGGGCTTGCCTTCTCTCATTGAGAAGCACCAATGAGATTGAAGTATACAGATAATTAAACGAATCATTTGACACCTAAAATGTACATGTTTATCACCGAAATGTGCTGAATTTATAACGTCGCTGTAGCCAGCCCGTAAGATATCGAATGAAATTTGTCAGGGGTCCCATGGCAACGAGTTGACACAGGACCCTGACTTTGTGAGGATGAAATATGGAGATAAGGGAGTTGTATCCATATTTCGAGTTGTATCCATATTTCATTTTATACGCCAGTTGATGGGCTAAATATGAAAAAGAGGACCTTGATACTTTGTCAGAATGGATTAAATGTATCGGATAGATGTTGAAATCTGCGCATCAAGCGATTGAGGGTCAATGGTTCAAAAGTTCACAGAAAGTTTTTTTTCTAAAATTATGTCAGTAATGTCATCTTCAACATAATTATTTTGTTTTAATTGAATGGCTTATTGATTGATATTTTTTTTTAAGTTGACAGTTAAGCATAGTCAGTGGAAAATGGATGTATTGGAGTCATAGATAAATAATTTTAGAGTATAAATGGGTCAAACCACTCTAAATTAACGTTTAAATGATGCAAAAGTAATTGTAAAATCTATTTTATGTTATAAAAAATGGAGTCTGAACCCATCTGAAAATCGAAAATTTCTGGAAAGAAAATATGTTTCAACAAATTGGTTTATTGACACGAAACTGACAAGATTTCTAAGCTTAGTGGTTAACGCTTTAGTCTAACGCCTATCCAGGAGCTTTGGAGAGAGTTCGAATCGTGTGTGAAGATCTTTTTTTTCTCTTTTCACGTACCGTAAAAACAAGTGAAAAATAAATTATTTATCAATAAGTTATTAATCAATAGAGGATGGAAGTGTGTTTAAGATGAATTGAAGATACAATATTTTTGTGTAAAAAATAACTTTTCATGAACTTTAAGAATTGAGAAATGTCATTTTTCTTAGACCTGGAGATTGTCCTCGTTTTGTACGCCTCCATTCTTTGTCAGGGATCCCACGGTAACGAGTTGACCCCTACATAGTGATGGATGCTGAACTGTGTTGAAATACAAACTCTATGGCATAGAGGCTTTAATCTGTAGCTTATCCTAATTACCGACATGTCCCAAAAATATCACAAGGTTAAGTTCTACCACACGAGTTCGTGTACCTATTAATTTTACCGAAATTTTCAGTAAATATTAAAAATACGTAATACTTATAATAACACCCTTGTGTTATTTTTACAGGTATTACGTATTTTTTTTATATATATTTTCTGAAAATTTCTGTAAAATTGATAGGTACACGAACACCTGTGGTTCTGTTCTACACAATTGCAAAGAGCAGTGTATTCTTCGAGTAATATAAATCGTTATGGTGTGTCCTATGTGTGGACCAGAGTTTAAGACTGAACGGAAAAAAGTACTGTGCTACAGGACGTGGTCATAACATCAGTTGTTTTGGCTTTTCTTTATTGTCCATATGTATATGTTATTATTGGGGGGAGGGGATAGAAATAAGAGGTTTTTTATTTTAGAAATTGTAGAACTAACAGAAATTGGAATTGTTTGGAGAGACTGGTATGGAGTATGTACAATTTCTAAACAAGTACATCTTAATACTACCCCCTTCCTCAACTAAGAATTGATTATTTGGAGGTTAAGAAGAGGGGAATGAAATATGGAGATAACGAACAGTAATCAAGCTCAGAACTTCATTGAAATAATACAAATTTGGAGCAGAGCAAATACGGACCTCTAAAAACATCAGAGGTAGGATCGGGTGCCATCCCCTGTCGATCGGTCACACCCGTGTGCTCATTGTCATGATCGGACAAACGAAAAAAATTCGTAGACAATTCAGTGTTTAAATAATGGCCTAACAATTAGTATGAAAAACGTCAGTCAGCATTCGAGTTAATGATAGATTGTATTTGTTCGTACGTGGAGCATGCTCTTGCGTATCGAATCAACTGGGAGATATAAACTCCATATATATATATATATATATATATATATATATATATATATATATATATATATATATATATATATATATATATATATATATATATATATATATATATATATATATATATATTAGGGATGTCAATTTTGTCGATAATTCATATTCGAATATATTCGATAAAATAAATAAAATCTGGTTTAGTTTAAATATGTATCATCCTACTTTTATGAAAGGTTTAGCGTAGGTATTCTTATATTGGAAGTAAAATTGTATGAAGACTTTTGTAGGTGTAGAATAAGAAATTCCTTTGGATATTATCAATGTTTGAAATAAATATTTAATTTAAATGTAGAAAAGTACAATTTTAACAAATTATACAATCATGTGTTTTTATAGTAGCTCCAACTGAGGAACCAGTCGTCTTACCAAAGGCAGGATAGTCGTATACCGTTCAGATTTCAATACGTGCAATTAATTACAATTATCGGCCTAATAAGAAATATGATCATAATCTTTGATACAATGTTTTTAAAATATAAACAAACATTTCAATAGATAATTTTCCTAGGTAATTAACAATTTTCCAGATAATGAAAATAAAATTCAGGATTATGTACAACCCATGATAATCAAGTAATTTACACATTTATTCTGAAATTAGCCCTTTACAAAATTTAATTACAGACAACTTCCATCGGACATTCATTCAATGATCAATTAAATTTATTAAGATAAGTATACTCTTCACGTCTTTTAGACATTCTAAGAAGGCTTGCCTTTTGTTGTCTTCGATTCTATATCCGATTGTATTTAACAAATAAAAAAGTATGAAAGTACGTTTTGTATTACATAAAGCATTAATATATTAACACCTTACTCAAAACAAAATAATTTAGTAGATCTATACGATAAGGAAGAAGTGAAAGAAATCAGGCGATCAAAATTGATCGCTTGTAAATTAAAAGGGGATATCTAATCAAAATTTATTAATCGCAGTACTTCTTTTAATGAAATCTGAAAAATACCGAATATTCGAATCTTAAATTCACATTCGAATATCAACTCATCGAATAAATATTCGAATATTCGTTGACATCCCTAATATATGTATGTATGTATGTATGTGCAGGTGACAAAGGTATTACTCTACAATGATATTTCCTACTCCATGTTACCATTTTGGTTATAAATATCCAATGGATGATAAATGTAGTTTTTCTTAAAGCTTTATAATTATGAAGATCTGTCATATTTAATATCATATCATATCATAATATCAAATATCTCGTCTTCTACGACAGTTTTACTAAGGTGACAAAAACGAGACTCTTTTTGGTTACGTGGCTTTGAAAATGTCTAAAGGGTGTGCAGAAATTCTCAGTGTTGTTAATTTAGAATGCGTATTGATTTATTAATTGGAAAGAATATGGGCGAAAATGTCGAGCGGAATGCCTATAGTGCGACAAACATCAAGGTGAAAAATTAAATCTCAATTATAGCAAAATTTTCTTTAATATTTCATCTAGCATTAATGTATAGTTCAAGTAAAATCTCCACAATTTGTAAAACTCTTACAAAGATTGAAATTATTTGCCTATAAAATAGCATACACACACTAAAGAGGGCAAAAAGGATCTTTTTCTCATGTTTTACACAGTTTTTCGATATGAGTGGGTCTTCGCTCCATTTTTTTTGTTGAAAGTTTATCCTCAAAGTTTGCGTAAAAATGTACTTTGTGGTTATTGAGAAATACTTAAGTCCATTTCATCAAGGGTCATATCACAAACATGATTTAAATGCCACTATTCATCAGGAGTTGTGTAGGGTAATTAGTCTTAAGGATATCTGATCCTCAGCCAGGAAGGATAACTCTTAAATTTATTAATTTATTTTAAAAAGTCTCAAAATGAAGCTTGAAATTGAGATCTATTCGTGCAACAATTTTCATTTTATGCATCTCAATCTGATTCAAGGTTCTTTGATAACTTGGAGACGGTCTTGTAAAAAGTTAACTTTTGTACCCCATAAAAGAAAAAAATTTTTTTTTTTAGAGAAATCGAATTTCCTTTAATCTAGCATTAGATACCAATGCTTATTAGCAGGATATGAAATTTAACGTGATTTGTGATGTTTAGCAATAATAGCACAAGCTTTTTACACTATGTATTACATAAAAATTGAAATACTAAAACTAAAATACTGTATAAACATAAAAAGATGCAATTTTCTCCAAATGCCTAGATACCTATATTTTCTATATCCTAAAATATATTTGTTGATCAATTTTCAATTAGAAAATGCAGATGGTGGTGTTTTTATTCGCATTTCGTGAAAATATATTTGAGATTCGATAATTTTCCCTATATAATATGATTAACTATAATGATGAACTTTGAAGAAATACCATGCATGGCTAAATTCAGGTTACTCTGTAAAATCAGAGAATTTTGTGAGCATTTTCAATCACTTAAAACTAATTTTCAGAAAATGAGGGTTGGACTACCTTAAAGCAAAATAATACTGAGGATTTCTCTTGCTAGGGTTCGAACCCCACAAATACCACATCATTTTTTAAATAATAGAATAAGTTTTGTCGAGAAAAATTTCCTCTGAAAAAAATTGTTTATCATAATTTCTTAAATTTCGATAATAAGAACTTCCCTCTAAATACTAAATCCACAAATTGAATATGATTTTTAATTCACAGATTGAATATGATTTTTATATATCTGAAGATATAGGCATTCAGCATGCCTTGTTCCCCTTCTCCTTTCAGTTAGTCCTGGAATTCATAGATTGAATATGATTTTTATATGTCTGAAGATATAGGCATTCAGCATGCCTTGTTCCCCTTCTCCTTTCAGTTAGTCCTGGAATTCACAGTTCTTTCTAATTTACTGTAAATTAATAAACCACATCTTCTGAAGTTGCATAACAGCACTTTTATAACAGAAGCTTTTCAAGCAGCTGCTCAATGTACAATCAGTAATATCTAATGATGGGAGTTTGTTTTTATGCCCCTGTATCGAAGATTCGGGGGTATATAGTTTTTGCCCTGTCCGTCCGTCTGTCTGTTTGTCCGCAAAAACTTTAACCTTGCCTATAACTTTTGATTGGTTGGAGCTATGGCTTTCATATTTCACATGTGTATTCCTTGTGACAAAACCTTTCTTTGGGTACGATCATATTTGACCTTTTGACCTTGACCTTGGAGTTTGACCCAGTTTTGCAAAATTTTACCAAACTTTAACCTTGGCCATAACTTTTGAACGGTTGGTGCTAGGGCTTTCATACTTCACCTGTGTAATCCTTGTGACAAGACCTTCCTTTAAATAACAACAACTTTGACCCTTTGACCTTGACCTACGAGTTTGACCTACTTTTATGAAAACTTCAACATTGGCCATATCTTTTGAAGGGTTGATGCTAGGGCTTTCATTCTTCACATATGTAATCCTTGTGACAAGACCTTCCTTTGGATACCAACAACTTTGACCCTTTGACCTTGACCTTGGAGTTTGACCTACTTTTGGAAAACTTTAACCTTGGCCATAACTTTTGAATCGTTGGTGCTAGGGCTTTCATTCTGTACATGTGTAATCCTTGTGACAAGCCCTTCCTTTAGATACCAACAATTGTAGCCCAGTGACCTTGACCTTGGAATTTGACCTACTTTTGAAAAACTTCAACCTTGGCCATATCTTTTAAACGGTTGGTGCTAGGGCTTTCATTTTTCACATGTGTATTTCTTGTGAGAATACTTTCCTTGGGCGCCATTGATTTTGACCACCTTGACCTTAATGTTTGATTTACTTTTGAAAAACTTTAACCTTTTCCACATCTTTTCAATGGTTGCTGCTAGGGCTTTCACATTTCACAGGTATATTCCTCGGTACAAGACCTTACTTTGGGTACCAGCATATTTGATTTGCATTTGAGAAAGTTTAACCTTTGCTATAAGTTGCCATACGGGGGCATCAGTGTTTCACAAACACATCTTGTTTTACTTAAGAATATTTTCCGTTATGATATCTAGGAATATTAAATATAGGTCTCAATTTATATTTTTAGAACAAAGAGCTAGTTTCACGTGCACTTTATGCATAAATGGCCCTGTAGATATACCAGTTTAATGACTAACACCCTTTGCCCAATTTTCAACATCAATAAAAATTAGAGGCTTAGTGCTTTCATTTTGTATAACAAATTTCCTCTAAAGAATCCAGGTATTGGAAAACAGGTCGAGTGAAGTTGCAATGTTCTTGAATTTTGCAGAAAACAGTTGTATTTGAGAACCTTCAGCAAAGAAATAAAATATGAGCACACCCCTCAATCCAAAAAATAAAATATGGTTTATAATCTTTAGAAGCAGTTCTTTCATTATATAATTGCACATTTTGGATCAGAGGCCGTGCTTTATACGAAATATTGAAAAATAACATCATCTTTTGGGCTTTTTTGAAGACATCTTCAGGATTTGTGAATAATGACGCAATTCATGACGTCACAACATTAACTAGCAAGAAAATTACGTCATTTTTAGTAGATATATTCAATCACCAAGGGTTCAAGTGAAATTTATTGCCTTGTCGACGAAAAGTATGCAGTTTTGATTTTTCAGAAATTCACAGGCTCTTGCTCTTTAACATTCATTCAACAGATTTTGCCAAGAAATGAAGATATATTAAAGAAGTCAAGATAAAATTTTCACCGTTTTTGCCTGAAATTCGCACATTTTTACCAATATCTCAAGATTTACATCACTGACCCCAACTTTTTCTTTCATCATTTTAAACAAAACGATACTTCCAACCGATCAGCACTTAAGTCATAAAAAGTTTGATATAAAAAAAATATTTTATTGCCTTTTTAGATTTCTTATATCCCCTACTACCCAAACTCCGTCACCATAAGCGGAAAATACGCCAGGTTACTCTCAAAATTATTTTTTTTTTATTTGTTTCTTGTTTGCTACACTTAGTAATGAACTTGAACATTGTTTTCAGAACTATTTTAAAAAAATCAGTTATTGGGCTTACACAAAACTACTTTAAATAGAACGCGTATCACATACATGGATGCGTGTACATTACGTTCAATGAACCCCAACTCAGTCACCAGGGCCCTCTACAATATATATGTCAACGAATTAATTATAAATTTTTTTCCAGTTTGTATTTTAGGAAAAGTATCAACAACAGAAAAAATAACGTTAATATAACGTATTTCATATGTAATAACGTCACGCTACGTTATCTCCAATGTGTAGCGTATAAGGGCATAAAGAGACGAAAAATAAAATATTTTTAGCCATATTCAATATAGTATGTCTTATTAATCCTTTGTCAAAGACCTTCATAAATACGACGGACATGTAAAAATGAGCATATTGACGCACATGTTGGAGGTATCGATGGAATAGCGCATAAAGGAAAAAGTGCTTACTGATTTCACATAAAATATGATAGATACAATAGATCACGTATAATTGTTATTTATTTTTGACGCACTCTTGAACTTTACTGTGTTAATTTCTCGGCAATTAATCAATCGAATTTGTTTACAAACAGCAAGGAGTTTCCCGAAAGTGACGGAGTTAGGGTAGTGACGGAGTTAGGGGGTTTGGCGATACCCCAAATATGATACTTTTTTAGTGCAAAAAGGTCACACAATTTATGCGCATTAAATAATTTGCATGATTTGTTCAATGATAAATACTATCCAAACTATTTTACGTATTAAAAATAAGATTATATTTATTGCCATAATTACATCTGATAAAATATGATAACGATTTTAAAAGTGATTAACCAAAGAGTATTTAAGTGCAAAAAGGTCAACTTAATTGTACCGTACCTCTGTAAGCTGCACACTGACCCCCATATTCTTTGCTGTTTTGAGTCATGCTATAGTCATGCATGAGTTTTTACCTAAAATATATTTCTAAAAAAAATCCTTCATGTAACTAATTTCACGAGTGACATACCTACAGTTCAACTCGAATAGTTTCCGTAAAAGTTAATTACTCCTTTTGCACCGGTCGTCGACGGGGGGAAAGACACAAAATGCCGTCAAATTTAAGGCCTCCACCGTCCTTAGTGACCCGACTTTTTAACAAGAATCGATATACAAGGTTTCTTTACAATCACTGGTAAGACAAACTCATTTTTGTAGGGATGTATCACCGTATACTCCTGGTGAATCAGTCAACATCAGTGTCCTTGAGTCTATAACATAGAATGGTGGAAGTGTTTTTTATCCTTGTAACTGTATGCAGACATTATGCTACTAACCATTAATGTCTATAAAGAATTTGTCAACTGCATATTAAATATGTTTATTTTGTAGAATGAAAGTGATGATACATTTTTATGAAAGAGAGGGGGGGGGGGGAAATAAACAACAGAGTAAATTCGAGCTATAACTTTGACCCTATAGATCAAAACAAGTATTAGCTTTCTTAAAAAGCTTGTCTGACAGAAAATGCTACAGAAATCATAGCTACTAGATATTCGACAAGTGTAGACTTGACCAGCTTCATTCCTGCTGTTTTGCTGGAGATACACTGCATGGCCGTAGGAACGGGGGGGGGGGCACGGGGGGGCCGTGCCCCCGAATAATTTTGCCGATATATAGATTACTATAGCAAACATAGATACTATATGCTTGTGCCCCCTCAATAAAAACGTCTGATGACCCCCTTTTTTTTTTTTGCTTGTCAGAAAATTTTTGGTATTTTGGTAGTGCCCCTCAACTGTCAACTGAAAAATGTTTGGCTGTGCCCCCCAAAACTGAAATTGCTTCCTACGGGCCTGCACTGATGAATGATAAATGATGCATTCGAAAATGGCCAAAAGTGTAACGTGTAATATAAATACAAATACAAATACAAATATTTATTGGCACAAACACAATTACAATAATTGGCAAAGGCACAACACATTATAAGAAAAATCGATTGTTCATACATAAATACACAATATTTTAGTATAGAATGTGAGGCTATACATATTTATAAATCACACATCATTTGTATAATAATTATGTAATGCAATCATTTCTAGATGCAAGACATTTTTTAATAAGTGAGTGTGTTATTTTCAGTATTTCTGGACAATGGCTATTAAAGCAAAGCTTAACTTTCTGAGTATAAGACATATTTGATATTTTTCCTTGAAAAAAATTCATCAAGTTCCTTTCAAAAGTTAACCTATAATTATTGTATTTATGGCAGCTGAATAGAAAATGAAATTCATCTTCAATCTCCCCTGTGTTGCAAATATTACAAAATCTTTTATCTGTGGGTATAGACAAATGTCTCCCTTTTTCTATATAATGTGATAATAAATAGGTCCGGTGCTCTGGCTTGTTTGGGTGTTTAGCATGTTTCCATTAATCCTCATGCTCTCCAATTGATAGTTAAGTTTGGATGAAGTTTCCAAGATCGAGTTATCACAAGAATTCTATTGAACGACTTGACCGACAAGCCTTGGCTAAATCTAGTACTGTCTGACGCCATGACGTCAGACAACAATGAAAATGTTACCTCTGTATATGCTATCGCTTAGAGAAGGGTCTTTTAAGAGTGTCGGGTGGTGTTTTTCAGACTCTGAAAGACTTTAACATTCTTTTTTAAGGATTCATGTTGAAAACTTTAGCAAAAAATGGAGCTATGTACCCCTTTATCAAGAACAGTAGCAAACACCTGGGCAATTTTTTAACACAGGAACTTGAATCTTGCATTATGTGTATTTCAAAAATAGGGTGGACTTTACTTTACCGGTCCCTAGACTGGCAAGATCTGCGCGCTTATTGCACTAGATTTATGTCACTCAACTGATAAGGGTTAGTCTTGCACACTACTCAACTGGATAGGGTTAGTCTTGCACCCACCTGAGAGATTAGGGTTAGTCCTTGCACAAGTATTTGACTGATATGTAGGGTTAGTCTCACATCCATCTGAGAGATAAGGGTTAGTCCTTGCACATTACTTGACTGATTAGGGTTAGTCTAGTATCCACCCAGGAGATTTGGGTTAGTCCTCACATACTATCTGAGAGATTAGAGTTAGTGTCTTGTTCTTTCAGATTAATAATAATTAAGAAATTCAGTTGCATCTGTATTTTTTGCAAGATCTTAATTCAGCTTCAACAGCATCTCATTGGTTTGTTTACATGAAAAAATGGCGAAGTACTAAAGAAATGTCACTAAGCATGCACCACTTTGTTGACAATTATTTTTTGTTGATTTTTCTGTGAATAAAAAATAATTATTAATTTTTTTAAGAGAACAAGGTTATAAACTTTGTTTGAAAACGAAGTTTTAAACTAGACTTATAATAGTAGAATTTGATTTTGGGGCCAAAAAGCCAAAAACCTTGAACTTTTTTTTTTTGATCACTTACGCATTCTCATATGTATTGAAGCCGCCTACGGCAACACTATATCTTAGCGCGTTTTTCTGGGGACCGGTAAAGTCATTCCCAAAAATAATAATGACTAATTCATGCTTTGCCTCGCTTGAAGTCATTATCTTTTCAGATGTATTACAGTGGAGCACCATTAATTTGGACACTTTTGTTCCCAAGCAAGTTGTTCAGATTAATGACGTGTTCAGATTACTGAAATATAAACTTGGTGTATATAATATGTTGACGGTGCAACCATTAGGGTGAGCACAGATGCGTATTATTAGATACCTATTCAATTTTTAAAAACTTGGATCTGTCTCTTCAAACTGCAAGAGACATTTGGAATGTGTAGACGCTGACGTCACATGATGTTGTATGTTAGTTGCATTACCATTTATAACAAAGTCTGAAAAGTGCATATTTTAACAAAGAACATTTAATCTACTATATTTATCTGCAATATCCATTAAATCAAGATGAGTTTATTTTTTGGTGTACTTTTAAAAGTTGTTACCACAAAAATATAGTTAGGAGGCTGGAGCGAGACACATACGCATTGCATTGTGGGTCTCAAGGTAACTGCGGGAAAAAAAAATCATTTGGATCAATGTCAGGGGTGTGCAATTAAAAAAATTAAGTACTAGCCCACGGGCTAGTAACAGCAATAAAGTTACTAGCCCAAGTAAAAAGTTACTAGCCCAATTGTGGGAAGGGGGGGGGGGGGGGTATATTTTGAAGAAAATAGTTTATTGTTGAAAAAGTCAGGGTTTTAAAGTCATTCTTTTTAAGAAATAAGTTCAATTCTCACTAGTAAAATTGAATCATGTATAAATTAATAATTAAGATAGAAAATAAACATAGGTAATCAGAGATTACAGAGCTCACCTCAACGAATGTTGTCTTTAAGTAAGGCAAAGTCCCACACTAAACTAATAATCTAGGAGTGTGCATCCCTAGATGCAACATTTATGCAATTTTGGTCTGATAGGGCTTGCAGTTACTTGGGAATAGACTTATCTGAAAACTTGAAACTAGTCACTCATCCAGAAAATGTAAGTCAAATCCAGCATCCGAAGCAAGTTTTGAGATTGTCGTCCCTTGATGCATCATCCATGCAAGTTTGGTTCAGATAGGCCTTATAGTTACTTGGAAATGAGATCTGCTCCAAAAACTTTAATCTGGTTACTCATCCGGAAAATGTAGGTCAGATCCAGCATCCGAAGCAAGTCCAGTAGTGTGAATCCTTAGATGTATCATCCATGCAAGTTTGGTCAATATAGGGTTTATAGATACTTGGAAATGACATCTGCTCCAAAAACTTTAACCTGGTCACTCATCCGGAAAATATAGGTCAGATTCAGCATCCGAAGCAAGTCCAGTAGTGTGCATCCTTAGATGTATCATCCATGCAAGTTTGGTCAATATAGGGCTTATAGTTACTTGGAAATGAGATCTGCTCCAAAAACTTTAACCTGCTCCAAAAACATAAACCTGGGCATTCTTGAGCTGAAATTGCAGCATCTGAAACCTTGACTGATACAATGAAACACACTAGAAGCATCCTCCATGTATCTCTGACTAATATAGGCCATAAAGTACTTGAAAACAAAACTGCTCCAAAAACCTTAACCTGGGACGCCGACACCGACGGTATTACATAAGCTCCCCCAACTTCGTTGAGGTGAGCTAAAAATGCATTTAAATAAATTATCTTCCCTTTTTCTGTGCATTGCACTAGCTCATATAAAATGAAGTGAAAATCTTTTTTTTTCATCTTAAGTCATTAAATACACTGGAAATATATTTTATATAAACCACATAACACTTATCTCTCAGTTGATTGAGTGATTGTAAATAATTTAATAAACAGAGGAATAGAGGAAATTCGGATTAGAAAAAAACCCGATCGTTTTTGGAAGTAAATAAGTCAGGAAGTACTGCAAAATGGATAAGATTATGGAGATTTACGAACAATAGGAGCATGCTCCCTGGAAATTTTTCATTGGTTGGGAATTTAATAGCAAAAAATGAGTGAAAATACCGATAGTGATTTTCATGTCTTACATTGGTAGTTTTAATTTTTACTAGCCCAAGGGCCTACCTCCGTGCAGGAAACTACTAGCCCGACCCCCAAAAATGGTAGTCCCGGGCGTCGGGCTATGCTAATTGCACACCCCTGAATGTGCAAAGTCCAAATTTTCACTTTGCCCAGGAGTTGCTTAAGAGCTGGCAATGATTATTGGGGGTTCACACCACTTGCTGTGCTCACTATAAATTATTCCCCTTAATAAGAGCTGGCAATGATGAGTGGTGCTTCATGTCGCTTGCTGTGCTCACTACAATTGTTCCCCTTAATAAGAGCTCGCAATGATGAGCGGTGCTTCATGCCGCTTGCTTTGCTCACTATAAATTGTTCCCCATAATAAGAGCTCACAATGATGAGTGGGGTTTCACACCACTTGCTGTGCTCACTATAAATTATTCCCCTTAATAAGAGCTGGCAATGATGAGTGTGCTTCACGCCGCTTGCTGTGCTCACTATAAATTGTTCCCCTTAATAAGAGCTCGCAATGATGAGCAGTGCTTCACGCCACTCACTGTCCTCACTATAAATTGTTCCCTGTAAATTTTGTCCAGAAGGTGAAGCATCCAGATTTTTGGTATCAGGAGTAATGAGATTCAACTGTATATCATGGTATATATAGAAATATTGATTTAATTAAAAATTTTAAAATCATAAACTAAATTTTACTCAAAATAGTTAGCCTGACAAAGTTTCTTTTTTTTTTTTATTATTGTCATAACTGCAACCCCCCCCCCCCCAACTTTTTTAAAATTTCCTTTTTTGCATGATTATATCTCAGTTAATCGTGAAAACTAGTGTTTTGTTCAATATGTGTAATACTCTCAATTGTAATTGAACAGATGATTATTGTAATAATTGACTTTTCTCAGGCTTGCATAATAGACTTGCATTTATATTAGGGCAGGGACAATATATGGAGATAATCGATAATATCGATTCAATGTGAGGACGATACACACATCGATACATATGGATAAATATTAAAATATCGCAAAAAAATCTGACTTATGTTTTTTTCTTTGTTTACTTAACATTTTGGGTTAAATATATGAAATAAATATGCAAAATATAAATATGAAATACATAATGATAAACACCACTTGTGTACAATAATTTTGTTTTACAACAGATATACAACGTCTTTGAATGAATTATTCTTAATTGTGAAGAAATATTTTGTTCATTTCAAAACAGAAAACCATTTTGTAACTAATTCAACTTATCGTGATACATATCGTATCCTGGCTCAAATATCGTGATACGTATCAATAGAGAAAATGTTGTATCATCCCAGCCCTAATTTATATAGTGAAGTCTTGAATTAATATATTGACATAGTTGTTAATATGACATCACTTGTTATGAGCATGATGTGTCTTATAAAATTTTAGAAGTGATACATATAAACAAAAATAAAAAAAAAAACACCTTTTATTCAATTGCAATTGTTATTTTTTAATGCTCCAACTCAAAGATTTGGGCATATTAGTTTTTGATTTGAATGCAATGATGTTTTTTTTAATCTGGTTGTATGATGACGCAGACTCAACCTCTGACAAACTTTTGAACTATTTCAGGAAGAAACTTCAACATTGGAATATGAATTGATTAGTCAAGCTAAAACCCAGGTTAAAACTTTCAAACTTTGTTACATACACTCCAAAACAAAAAGGGAGATATGGAATAACAGCAAAAAATGAACAATATAATAATACTTGTCATAAATCCCTGTTAAACTTATCAGATAAAGGTTCTTTGAAATTTCTCTTATTTTTTTTCTTTTTGCAATCTTAACAGGCGAAAAAGTTTGGGGATATTTGGAGTAACTGGAGCACTAGGAGTTGTGTGGCTTTTTGATGTCCAGATGGTCAATTATCTCCGATATGTCCCTGTCTTTAAGAAGAAGTTCCAGCATGTACAGTTTGAAGAAACAGAAGCAAAACCTAAAAAAGAGGAGGAGGACGAATAATATTAGTAGATGATAGTACATTAAATTGTAAGTATACAGCAATCCATTTTAGTACACTTCACTGTTACAAATTAGCAGTACATGGATGACATGAATTCGAGGGTCTGACTCTATAAAATGAAAACAACAGAAATAAACCCTCCACAAAAATGAGTGATTTCACAGTATTCAGCAAACCGTGGTAGTATTAGATTTGTAGGTATACAACAAAGCAATGTTAGTTCATAAAATCAATGTAACATTGCATCTTTTTCTTTCATTTCAGTTTTGACATTATAAAGAGATCAGCCTTTTCCTCACCATGGTGAACAATGTGATGTGATGAAAATATGTAAATAAAACTTAAATATGTGTTGCTTATCATTCTTGTGTTTATTTCCACTATTGAAAACTTATTTAGAAAGTTTTGCTAATCCTAGAGACTTAGGACCTTGCAATGGCATCCTTTGGGCCTTTCCAACAAGCTTGGGAAAACAAATATATTTACATCACTGGATGTTAAAATTTTGTTGCTTCCCATCAGTTAAAATGTTGGCTTACTAGTATCCCTAGACAAGTTTGCCTTTCTGTAGTTTATTGTGACCTTTCGAGTCTGCTGTACAACAACTACGATACAGGACACTTTTTGATGGGCTTTTCTAATGCAAATGATGAAAACTGTACAATAACTTCAATTTGTTGCATTCAGTGAAGTTTAGCTCCAGACTTTACAGTTCATGCTCACATTGAATAGATTTTTATGCCCCGCCATGAATATGGCCAGGGCATATAGTGTTTGTCATGTCCATCTTCCGTCACACTTTGCATTTAGCTCTGTTCAAAGCTCAGTTTCAAAGAAACTATGCAAGATATTTTTATCAAACTTCATATGCTGATAGGTATTGATGAGAGCTATGCAACTGCAACAACATTTTTTGACCTTGACCTTTCCTTTTACCTCGACCTCACTTTTTTTAAATTAGTGTTTAGCTCAGTTTTAAAGGTACCATTCAAGATAGTGTAATCAAACTTCATATGTTGATACATACTGATGTAAGCTATTCAACTGCATCAACATTTTTTTGACCTTGACCTCACTTTTCTTAAATTAGTGTTTAGCTCAGTTTTAATGACACCATTCAAGATATTTTTAACAAACTTCATATGCTGATACATACTGATGAGAGCTATTCAACTGCATCAATATTTTTTACCTTGACCTTTCCTTTGACCTTGACCTCACTTTTCTTAAATAAGTTTTTAGCTCAGTTATAAAGATACCATTCAAGATAGTGTTATCAAACTTTTTATGCTGATATATACTGATTAGAGCTATTCAACTGCATCAACATTTTTTGACCTTGACCTTTCCTATGACCTTGACCTCACTTTTCTTAAATTAGTGTAAAACTTCATATGCTGATACATACTGATGAAAGCTATTCAACTGCTTCAATATTTTTTGACCTTGACCTTTCCTTTGACCTTGACCTCACTTTTCTTAAATTAGTGTTAAGCTCAGTTTTAAAGAAACCATTCATAATATTTTTATCAAACTTCATATGCTAATACATACTGATGTAACCTTTTCAACTGCATCAAGAATTTTTGACCTTGACCTTTCCTTTGACCTTGACCTCATTTTCTTAAATTAGTGTCAAACTTCATATGCTGATACATACTGATCTAAGCTATTCAACTGCATCAGTATTTTTTTTGCCTTGACCTTTCCTTTGACCTGGCCCTCACTTTTCTCAATTTGTGTTAAAATGTTGCATTACTAATTTACCCTCGGCAGGGCATTCATGTCCTATGGACATATTTCTAGTTTTATTTTATTCTTTGCTGAAGTTACTGGTAGTTAAATTTATATTGAAGAATCCACATGCCATGACCCCTTGGAACTAGGGTAGGGCCAAAAAGAGCTAGGTTCACTGTATCCATAAAATGGCCCTAGCTGCCAATAAACCAATTAACTGGCCAAGACCCAATGTCCCATTTTGAACATCAATATATAAAGTAAGAGACTTTATGCTTTCATTTCCTATAAAAAAAGGTTTTCTCTGAGAAAAAAACAGGCATTGTGAAATTGTAATGTTCTTGAATTTTGCAGAAAACAGGTGTATTTTAGTACCTTCAGCAAAAAATTAAGATAAAAAAATCACTTCCTTCCTTTTCCAACTTTAAAGTTGTTAATTCCAACTTTAAAGTTGGCTTTTCCAACTTCATTCTTGGCTTTTCAAACTTTACAGTTGGCATTTCCAACATTAAAATTGGCTTTTCCAACTTCAGTCATGGCTTTTCTAGCATTTTACGGCTTTATGCGATTATATTTACATACTTTGTAGCTGGACTCGTCTTGCTGTTTTATACATGTAATTACAATGGAAAGAAACTAATTATGATAAAAGAAGGAATGATTTCATTGTGTTATATATACAGAATTGATACATTTAGTTCACTTGTATTTGTGGCATGAAATATAATGTTGATTCATCTTATATATCGAACACTTAATTATGGTCACATTTGTTTAGCTTATTCTCCCACACAAACAAAATATATGTCTGATCTGCTAAATAGGTATGGTTGAAACCCTGGACATCATGTACGGAGTTGTATGAAGTTAACCTCTATAAAATTATAGAAGATGAACCAAAAGAAATGCAAGGGCTTTTAAGAAGTTATGTGTTAGGTCATAGGAAGGTCAAGGTAAAAAAAATAATTGACACAGTTTAACAGCTAACCAGTTTGTTAATAAAGTTGGTAATAATCCAAAATAAAGGAAAAAGCTAAGGAAAAGGGTTAGAAAAGCTCGAATTAAAGTTGGAAAAGCCAAGATTTAATTAAATTGGAATTACCAACTTTAAAGTTGAAAAAGCCAAAATTAAAGGTTTGAATTACCAACTTTAAAGTTGGAATTACTGACTTTTAAGAAAGATTACATGTACTTGGCACTAATGCGCTTCCGTACTAAAACTTTTGACTATCTGTTACATGATAATCTTATACGTAAGCTCTCAAATTATGGTCTATCTCAAAATTATGTGTCTAGTTTGGCTAGCTAATTGTATAAACGTTATGAGCAAGTGAAACTGTCAGTCGTTGGAGCACTGTAAAATAAGAAAGTGCCACAATTTTCTATTTCTTGACCATAACTGTTTCATATTTGGATGTTTTACTGACTATAAACTAACAACTAAAATAGCTGTCTGGTAAACGAGATGACTTCAGATTTTCCATCGTCAAGTTTCCTTATTAAGGTAGTAATATTCCACCTGCATATGGTGCTTATGTCTCCCCAACTTATTCGATACTAGAGCATGCTCTGAATTCGATCAATTTTTAAACCGAGACATGCTACTGACAATAACTTGATGTTAAAGGGATTTTAACTACCTAGTTGAAAGCATTTCGTAAATTCTGTGGTTGTTATAATGACCTTGTTAGCAAATACAACCTATCATTGGGTCTAGGGCTGTGCGGTGCACCGAAAATTTCGGTGCACCGCGGTTCATACTGTTCGATTCGATGCACCGATCCAGAATTCCGGAATTCGGTTCGGTTCAAAATTTACACAACACGTATAAACAAAAATGGCCGCCAATATGGAGATCAGAAGTGTTTGTTTTCATGATTTTAATACTTTTTATAATGATTGTGCCAGTTTGAAGTCAGTGATTATTTTTTTTATTCCACAAACACCCCTTACTTTTACAATAGAGGTTACTTTAAATTGGCATGGGCTAGTAAATAACCCGACTTGCTAGTGAAAAAGTAGCAGGTATTTTCCAAGTTTTGCTTTTAAATCCCCAACCAATGAAAAAAATCAAAGAAGTGTGATTCTCTTGTTCATATCTCTTCTATCTAATTCTTTTAGCACTTCTACATTATTTTTTTTTATTTCTAAAAACATGAAAACGATCGTCTTTTTTCTACTAATCCGAATTTCCTCCATTCCGATTTTTTGGAAAATACATGTATCAAATGATTAAATTATTTCCAACTACTCAACTAATTAACTGAAGATTTACAAGTATTATCAAAAATATATGAATTAACATTGTTTCTGAAAATTTGAATTAAAAAAATAAATCACCTAGCTTTCACTTCATTTTGGAAGATCAGAAAAAAAGATGAAATGTATACTACCATGTTAAAAGGTATCTATAGCATGATTGTTTATTCTGTTAAATTCAGCCTTAAATAATTTCTCTGATTATTTATTTATCATTGACTCAGAAGAAAAATACAAAATGAGAAAATAAGCAGAAGAAATATGAAAAGAAGAGTAATTCATTATGAAATGGAATAAAATAATCCAACAAAAGGTTTCAAATTTTATTATTTTTCTGGGCTAGTAGAAATTTTACTTTAGCTAGTAAAAATGTCAAATCCACTAGTCTCACTTGTCTCAGAAAAGTTTTTGTGAAGACTGGAGTAAAGGCTTTTCATCAGTTTTTAAAGTAGAGGTTATCATTTTTCATTTATGATGAGAAATATTTAGACTGTTTTAGGTTAAATCGAACCTAATCGAAAAAAACCGAACTGTATCATTCTGAACCGAAACCGAACCGAATCGATTGAACCCTGAATCGTCCCAGCCCTAATTGGGTCGTATTTTGACTGACATATTTCATATAATTGTTAGGCTTTTGTTTTTTAAACTTAATTTGACTACAGATTATCCCGGCGACCTGATCAATACACAGGGCTCACAGCGGGGGTGACCGGTCGACATGTTTACTCCTGATCAATACATAGGGCTCACAGCGGGGGTGACCGGTCGACATGTTTACTCCTGATCAATACACAGGGCTCACAGCGGGGGTGACCGGTCGACATGTTTACTCCTAACTTTTTTATATTTGTTTACAGAATTGTATTGTTTGTAGGTTTTTTTTATATTTGTTTACAGAATTGTATTGTTTGTAGTTTTTTTTAATATTTGTTTACAGAATTGTATTGTTTGTAGGTTTTTTGAGATCGATCATTGTTTGTTATCTTTATATATTTCTTTTTTATCTTTCTATTAACGATATCTTTTATTCACAAAAAAAGTTACTTAATTTAATTATGCTTATAAATATACTTTGGCTTATTGGCCTAACGATTTTGACACTCTCACAAATACTTCGCAAAATGACATTTTTCTGCAATTAAAATAGTTCAAAAGAAACTGTATGCAGGCTAATCCAGTCCATATTAAGACAATTCCCCTTGGAAAGTAAACATTCTATAAGAAACCAATTTTTAAAATCGATGCTGCGGAAATATTGTTTGATGACACTGTCAAACTGTTGGTATTAAATATTGATTTTATACTTAAATTAGGTGTTTATTTAAGCATTGAATCATTATTTTTTGAAGATGTCGTCTCATAACTGCAACGGTGTGTGCAAACAAATTGATTAATTGAGTCCCTGTATTATCCTTCGGGTAAGTTACAATTAATGGAAGAGCCATTGCAACGGCTTCTATTCAATGTGTGCGTGAATTTGACGTTGCACTTGCACTTCAACGTTTGTGACATCAAAATAAAATGCATACTTTAACTTTTTGACCCCTTTCGTGTTATAGTGTTTTGAATGCCGTCGCTTTCCAAACACTTTATAAGCAAAATAAATGTAGAATGTAAATATATCAGTATAATATTTGCGAAAAAAGCTGCCCTACAACTAAATGTTTTCAAATTGTCTTCTTGTTTGGCAATTCTGCTCAACAAAACACAAGAAAAATTCATAAGTTTTAGGATTGTACACTACATTTTATTTATGAAGATCTGGAAAGAAGCTTTGAAATTCTCTACATAAAGCAATATTACATTTCATGAAAGTGAGAAGCAGCATGCATGGCTCTCGGATGTTTTAATATTATTGATGACCTATCTCCCAGACGTTTGTCAGATTCAGTTAGTTTAAAGAAAAACCAATTACAATTTAATGTATTTAAGTATTTTAGAAAATTTTGACCTTTTACATAGAATACAAGTATATTCATTAAATTTAAAATAACTAACGAACTAACAACCAATTTTTTTTTAATGATTTAATATCAATTCATTGCGACAAAGCGGTTATGTTGTCTGATTCCCATTCTATCTGAAATAGAAGCAAAGCTTTAATTAAAACTTTAAATTCTAGAATTATGTATAGTCCCTTCAGTTGATGTCATTGCAAGAATATCATACATAACATAATTTGAAATGAATCGCGAAATAATTTTTTAAATAGAATTTGAAAAACATTATGATAAAACATTCCGTAACATTTAAAAAAGATTTTGAACAGTCTTTGTAATTTTAATAACTTGACAAGGCATCATCGAGAAAGAAAACACCCTTACTAGCTAAATTATTGGAATTTACCTTTCCAGTTACCCATTGCAACCAACACATTTGCAAACACACCAAGCCGAACCGCAGTATCCACCTCTGCAGCTAAGTTCGCCCTGGCAATAATCACTGCACGTTTTGTCGTTGTGATACACACAGTAACAACCATGCCCTGCCATGACAACTTTTGCAGAGGCTAGAAAATATTAATTTACAGTCATGCATTGATTTATATGTGTCGGACCACACCTCTAAAATTTCTGGGGGTCCGTGTTTATGCCCTGTTCACAGATTTGTTTTGTTTGTAGATTTTTTGAGACCGATCACTGTTCGTTATCTACACCCTTTTCAACTACTAAATAGATACAAGGCTACGGAAGGAAATTTATATAAAGCACTATAAAATAGTTAAAAATTATCAAATTTTCGGGACGCCCTGCCTCTCCATCAGGACACAGAAAAGGTCAAAATGTCACGAGAAAACAAAACAGATGAAAAAAAAAAAAACATCTAGCACTACAACTACGCTACTAAACCATATACACATGTTTTACAGTTTTACATTTTGAATTTCGATGTTGAAAACTAATTAGTTTGAAATGAACCCGGACCACCGCGAGGTACATCCGGTCATTCTGGTCTCCTATGGTGATGTGTGATTTGCATAAATGATCGAAATAATTGTCGCTAATTAATTGCTATGAAGTAATAAACCGTACAACGTTGTATTTTTTCCAACCCAGTGCTACTAAATAATAATATATATACTATGGTCGATACAATGATCTTGTCAGCAAATGCATTGCTGACTGACGTTTTTCATACTAATTGACAGACCATCATTTACACACTGAATTGTCTAAGGATTTTTCCGTTTGCCCAATCATTACAGGAGCACACGGCGGGTGTGACCGACAGGGGATGCTTACTTCTCTATGGTACATGATCCCACCTCTTATGCTTTTAGAGGTCCCATGGGTTATGGTCATTTACCGCAACTGTCAGGTTCTCACATTTGTGACCCTCGAGGTTGAAATGTTTTCAACTTGTTCATTGATTTTCTTGGACTTATTGATGGTACGGTGATTATTAACTCTTCTGCGGGGATCTCCCCTTTCCCGAGCATACTGTTTTTGACAAACTATGCAGCTGATGAGAAATATGCAATTGTCTGTTTGACAGAAGAAAATAACCTGGAAGTTCAGTGGAGGGTGTCTTGTTTATGTAATCTATGGTGTCCTTGAGATAGGATGGTAGTTCTCTACATGCTGACGGAGATGCAAATCAATTTATAATGAAATTCTCTTCTTTGGTTGTCCAATTCCACTCGGAGACCTATTATACCTTTTTATTGCATCTTCGGAAACGTCGACACTAATTTCGTTATTTTTAACATTTCTTCAAGATTTTTGTTGATTGCAGCTGGGAACACTTTTATAGGATCAGAGTCCAATTTCTTTTAGAAACGTTTGTCTTAATGTTTTCTTCGGCCGTCCGCCATGTACGTCTCTTTATGTAGTACTACTACTACTGTAAAACCCTTGTCTACTCTCTTGACTTTTTAAAATATTTCGACCCGTTTCTAATCCCCCCCCCCCCCCCCCCAAAAAAAAAAAAAAAAACAAAACAAAACAAAAAAACAAAAAAAACAAAACAAAACAAAAAACAAAAACAAACAAACAAACAAACAAACAAACAAAACAAACAAACAAACTTTGATTTACTACAGTAAACTATAGTAAATCAAAGTTTTTACTTTAGGGAATCAAAGAATTATTACTATGAATTTCAACTTGTTATATTTTATTTTCTCTCACTCTAAAATCTAAAATGTAAAAGGTGAGGACAATGAACAATGATAAATTTCACAATTCCAGCGAACAAAACCAATCGCGAACAGAACACAAACTGGGATTTTTTTTTAATATTGAAAGAAACTATTTCTCTTATATTATTTGCGAAACTGACATCATTGGAATGTAATTATACAAACATTTAGATTCTTACTCTCGAAAAAAGTTCTTGAGTAGAGATCTATAGTAAATCAAAGTACCAAAGTATTTACTATTAACAGACTCTAGTGAACTATAGTTAACTATAGTAAATTTTTGTTAGGGATGTTATATTTAGTAAATGTATATTGTATTTTTTATATTATACTTAACACAACCATAAACAATTTGGTTTTTCCGAATCTAGAGTTTAAAAGAAAAATACCTTCTTTTTTTTTCGATTAAGATATTCTGCTTTGATATTTAAAGATATGCAATACATACCCATCAAAAACACACACAGCACGATCAAAAGGATGGATTTCATCTTAAAGGTTTGGATTTAGATCTGTAATTGAAAATACCGATCTGAGAGGATTAAGGTCAATTTGCTCACTCAGTTAATGGACAGTTTCTCGAAAATTTTAAACGGTATAAACAATATCAAGAACGATAATTTAATCGATAGAAATTTTATAAACCTATGAAATCCTTATTTTAACATAGACATAGCACAATTATTATATAAAGTCTTAAATCCTAGAAGCAAGTTTCAGTTGATGTCTATTAATTAAAACTTATAACGTCTACATTTAACAAGAGAAAGAAAGCAGTGAAGTGATGTTTATGAGAAAATAAAGATAAATTAGATTTGTTTACTTAAGTGCAATAATTAGCAAATAAACATGTAAATATACATACCAGTAGAAGTTAAAGCAGTGACAATTAGAGGTTTAGCTTCTGACGATTCGCAAATGAGACAAATAAGAAAGGGGCAATGATACCTATTTTATAGTTTCATCTTTTGGCAGATGTAAACTGTTTTGAAAAATTGCTTTTTCCCCGATGGTATGATGACTTTCAAATTACATAATTTTAAAACTGTTATATCACTTCTGACAAAAAACAGAGCGCTAAATTTATTCCATGCACACACTATGAATAGGTGACATGTGGTACCGATGCTTTTAAAAACAACGTTGTTTAAAACAACAAAAATTACATTTAGCTTAGCTTTTTAACTTGTGAATTTGATTCACACAGTAACCAAAGGATTTACAAGTTTATTGAAATATTATTTTATGCATTCAATTACAAATACCCACAAAAGGAACTAATAATCAAACAAAAAGTGTCAAAAAATCGTTCTTCTTTCTTAAAATTTTTCCGATAGCTTGTAATGTGGATTCATTATCTAAATCTTTCCAAGATAAACCAAGTGAAATGATGAAATCAATTTTGAAATGTTTATTTTGTCACCTTAATGATCATGTGTTTTCTTTCTTGTTTTCCTTTTACTTAACCATAATATACAATTATTGCTGGTTTTTGAGGTCAATACGACGATTTAGACCCTGAGGAGTACAATATTCACCGAGCCCGAAGGGCGAGGTGAATATTGTACTTCGAAGGTGGCTAAATCATCGTATTGACCGAAAACCCCCCAGCAATAATTGTTTTATTATATGATTAAATGATTAAATGACAAACACTCATTAAGCAATCTACGCCATCTTACTTGTTTACATCTACTGAAGTACTAGTCGAACATAATGAGAGAAACGGGGTTTAAAAAAAAACAAAAACAGTTGTACTATTTTGGAATTTTTAATTCTAGTTTAGATGCAATGTAGAAAAAAATAAATGTCAGGCACATATATAGGATTGATTTTGAAAAAGGGGACATTAAAAGGGAAAAATTGACAACTAACCTGAAAACAAATCTTTGACTTACCCCCCCCCCCCCCCCCCCCCCAAAGGAAAAGAATTCTCCCAACTCAAAATTTTATTTGGTGGGATGTAAAGGTCCATAAACGAGGGGAGGGGGGCTTTATTGAAACTTTTTTCCTTAAAATTTAAATTAAAACTTTACATTCTTAAAAGGTGGGGAGAGGGGCAGGCCTCCTGCAACCCCGCATCCCCACCCCTCACCCAAGAATTTATGTGCCTCAATGTTATGTTCATATGAGTGGAAGTCACTTGGAAGTGAAATAACTTTCCAAAACTATTTGCATCAATTTGGAATTTCCCTATCTATTTTTGGTCCAATGTAGAATAAATAATTCCTTATATTGACCTGGAAGGTCACGTGCAGGTCAATATAACGTAGTATTTTTCTAACATTGCTGGATCTCAGCCAATCAGAGAGATGGGAATTATTCAATCATATAATAATGTATAATATTGAAAAAATATTGTATTTTCTTTAGTTTAGGGATATGATATATGGAGATAACGAGCAGTATTCAAGCGCAAAGTCCATCAAAACAATACAAATCGGGAACAGAGCGAACACGGAGGTGGGATCAGGTGCCATGGAGGAGTGAGCATCCCCTTCCGACCGGTCACACCCGCCGTGTGCTCCTTTTCATGGTCGGGAAATAGCGGAAAATTTCGTCGACAATTCTGTGTGTAAATAATGGCCTAACACTTAGTATGAAAAAAGTCAGTCAGCATATGACTTAATGATAGATTGTAGTCGCTGACAAGGTCATTGTATCGACCATAGAACTTACCAAATGATAACTTTAAACGGGATTGTTGATATTCTTGTTTCATCAACTTGTTTGTCAATAACTTACCCCGTTTTACGAATTGTTCATACGTACAGCATGCTCTTGCGTATCTAATCAAGTGAGATATATACACCCCATATGCAGGTGATACGGGTAGTAAGGGAAGTTGATGATTGAAAAGTTAAAGCTAATACGTTTATCATAAAACTTTGTTGTTAGATTACCATTAATGTCTTTTTCTAGTAAAATATCCAAATATGAAACAGATGTGTCAGACTCTGTGGTGTCTTTTATGTCAAGCTCACTGGGATATATCGAGTCGACATATGAATGGAAATAACGATTGTTAATTGTTAATTCGTTAATCAATATAAAATATATTTTCCAATCAAAAAACTTTACCTACTTAATGATTTTTTGTACTTAGAAGTTTTAAAGCAAATCTTTATTCAACAGGTCAAACCTTTCCACGAATAGTTTTTTTTTTTAAATATCGCATGTGAGTTAAGACTAGGAATAGCCGTTTCAAGGCAAATGAGGCAATAAAAACGCATAAGAGGTATATAAATTATTCAGAGAAAGTTTTGATTTATTTTCGTATACATACTTAGTATCCATGATATGTTATAGCCAGTACACATTATGACGTCATATGACGTCATTGTTCTTTCCTACTGGAGGTAATAAAACACATCAACAAAACAGATTTTTTGATTTTATTTGATTTTTTATTTTTGATTTTGCATAAAAATTATATTATGCTAAGAAGAATAATCTATAGATTAATAAAACTGCTGCACAAATCTTAAGCATTTTCTCATTTGATCAAAATGTGAGGAAACCTCTATCGGACTGTGCATATTTACTCTGATTCAACTTAAAAGTTAACAAATAGTAATTAAACAACTGAGCTGTTGATATTTGTGCGTCAATACTAGCAATCCTTGGAATATTTTGCTTCTAAATATACCTTGCTTCAGTTAAATAAAATAGAGCATGTCCTTGCGCTTAGGCATTTTTGTTGTTGTCCTTTACTTGAAATAAAAGACATGACAAAGTCTGTCACATCTGTTTCATATTTAGATATTTTACTGACTATAGACGATAAGGTCAATTAACAACTAAATTGTATGACAAACGAGAGGACTTCTGCTTTTCCATTGTCAACTTTCTTATTTATGTAGTAATATTCCACTATCACCTGCTTATGGTGTTAATGTCTCCCAACTTATTCGCTACTCAAGAGCTTTTCAAAGCGAGGCAGGCTACTCACTGATAAGTTGATGTTACAGGGATTTCAACAGCCTCATTTAAAGTCACCATTTCGTAAATTTTATGGTTGTGGTTGGGTCAGAATAAACCGAAATGCCAGCAAAAATCAATCACACAATTTTAACTTAACAGTTATTTATTTACAGTAATATATAAAAATCAAAAAGTACAAACTTACAGCAAGAATCCAACCATACATACAATAGAGTGTCCGTTGCTACACACAATGTCCTAGTGAGAGCATCCAATGCTTAAGCTATCCCAGTCTCTTTGGTACTCCAGTCTATTTGCACGCCAGTCTTACCCATGCATATAATTGACAGTGTATTTATACATTAACATAAATCTTGGAAATTCTAGAAATTGTAAATACAAGATGTTACGAACATTCTGGACATACACGAAATTCAAGATTATAGAATGTTCTAGAAAAAAAATGACCATACATGTTGACCACTCTGGAATGTTCCAGAAGTTTCTTTATGTTACTTAATATATACAAGATGAAACAATACAAACATATTTCAATTACAACACATCTCACAACAGTTGTTATAATGACCTTAATAAAATATAGCCTATCATTGGGTCGTATTTTGGCTGACTTGTTTCATACCAATTGTTAGGCCTTTGTTTTTGTACTGAATTGACTTCAGATAGTTCCGTGTACCTGATCAATACATAGGGCTTACGGCGGGTGTGACCGGTCAACAGGGATGCTTACTTCTCCTAGACACCTGATCTCACCTCTGGAATTTCCAGGGGTCTGTGTTTTATGTCCTCTTAACATATTTGTTTTGTTTGTAGATATTTTGAGATCAATCACTGTTCGTTATCTTTACATTTTACATAATAATATTGTGTAGTGTACTGGTTATCTCACGTCGTGGCTACCAAGTATGTATTTAACAAGAAGTTTTAACGTTCTCTGTATAATACTCGTAGATATCGTCCTTAGGCATTTTAAATTTATTAGCATAGAAATGCCTATACTTAGCCTTTACTCATTTGCGATCGAGATGGGCGTTCAACAGAAATAACATGACAACAATAATTTAAGTAAATGCTTTTATTATTGTCGATCATATAGTTTGACACATGACAGTAAGAGTTGCTATCATATATTCTATGCACATATCCAGCATTAGTGAGATATTTTGGAAAGATTTAAATGTATGGTATAAATCGACCAAACAGCAACACTTGAAGAGTAAAATGATTATTTACAAAATGGTTAATTTCTCTGAAATGTTGATTTTTTTTTTCATTTATAATTTTTTAGTTTTAGGCAATTCTTTATTCTATCTTCTTCCAACTGAAACACCAAGAAAAATACGTAGTATCATTGGAAAAAAGGACGAAATGCTTATTTTAACGGATTTCAAGTATACAAAAATAGAATACTCTGTAAAACACAGAGAATTTGTATGTAGATTATTCTGAAAAGTCAATTCAATTAGCATGGTGACAGATAAGTGATCATACAAGGAAAACAACAACTAGCTAAGGTCGCCCGCGTGGCGCAGTTCTGCTCTAGAGTCGCGGAGTAAGGAGTTGATCCTTACGTCGCGGGTTCGAATCCCACTGTGGGACGTGGAGACCGGTCCTTCGGATGAGACCGTATTAACCGAGGTCCCGTGTCGCAGTAGGTGCTGGCACGAAAAAGATCCCTTTTTGACCATTATCGATCTTTAACAACTGGTTTTATTGTAAAAAATCTCAAAACATGGGCATAGTGACTATTGAGGAAGGAGGGGGAACCGTTGGAATGTTGATATCTGGATCGTCCTTAGGACAAGTTATACTAACTTTTATTTTAGTGTTAATTTGATATTACCTTTAAAAATTAACAACCAGTATAAAAAGGATTTAAACACATTTTTCTATAGGATGCGCGTCATATTCATCGACAACTAACAACAATTTGAAAGCTTTGGACAAAATTTAACCAAACCGGAACGATCTGGATCTTCGTCTGAGACCAAGGTTTCGCGTCACAACCAGGTTAAAAGATTGTTACGTGGTCCT